TAGTAAATAAAATATTTAAATAATAAATATTATTTATTTTTATTAATTTTATATAAATAATTTTTAAAATTGTTAATTTAAATAGAAATTTTAATATTTATATTTTAATAAAAATAAAAAAAAATTCATTATAAGACATTGTTTATATTTAATATTATTTAATAATTCCATTTAATCTTATTTAAAAAATTTATAACGTTTTTTTACAAATTTTTCTATGCTTTATTTTTGTTTATTTAAAAAAATTCAAGTATAGTATATTGTATAAATTTTTATTAAAATTAAATTCTTATTTATGATTTTAATACATTTCATATGTTTAATTCGATTTAAGTATTACATATATTATTATTACTATTATTTTCCCAATATAATTATTTGTTATTGTATTAATAAGCAATTTATTTTATGCTAAATAAAATGAAAAATAAAAAAATATAATAAAAGAATTAATAATCATTATAATTTATTATTATTATTATTATTATTATTATTATTATTATTTATATTCATTTATAACTTATTATTATTCTTATTTTATTTTATTTTTATTTTATTTTTATTTAATGTTATAATTTTTTTTGATTAGGTATTATATAGGTTTTTTAGAAAAAATTATTTCTTATTTTTTCATATTTTTTTTACATATTTAAATTAAAAAATTTAAAAATATATTAAAAACTAAATTAATAAATAATAATATAAAAAAAATTATAAAAATATGGAATTAGTAAATTAAATAATTAATAATAATAATAATAGTATATATTTGATTCCCACTTAAAGCAAAAGAATAAATGTAGATTTTCGTTTCAAATAAATTTCAGGTTTAATATTTGATATGCATGAAAATAATCCAGATGAAGATATTCCTATATAAGAAATTACTAAAGAAATGTTAGATACAATAATAAGTTATTGCGAAATTCATAATTGGAACCCTCCTTAAATAAAAAGGCCTTTAAAATCAAATAATTTATAGACAAATTTATGCGAAAAGGATTATTTATTTATTAAGGATTACAAAATATATAATGATACAAAATTGAGAGATTTAATTTAGGCAGCTTATTATTTGTAGATTTAGAGTCTTTATGATGTATGTATTTGTAGATTGGCAAGCGAATTCTATTTTGAAAATAATTATTAATCTTTTGAAAAACTTTAATGTATTTTAGGTGTTAAGTAAGATATAAATTTTAAAGATGATTAAATAATTAAAAATAATCATCCTTGGATATAGAATATTTGAGATTATTTTTTAAAAAATATGTAAATAAATAATTTATTTAGTAAATTATTATTAATAATATAAAATTAATATATTTACTTAAGTGTAAATATTATAAAATTATTAGTTAAATTAAAAATTTTAAAAATTTATATGTTTTTGAATTTTTAAATATATTTATTAATAAATATTTATTTTATTAAAAAAATATTAAATTATAAAATGTTAAATATAAAAAATATAAATTGAAAGTTTAATAAAAAATATAATAAATTATTAAAATTATATATAAAAATTTTAAATAAAATAAAAAAATATTAATAGAAAATAAATTTAATTATAAATATATAATATATATAATATATATATATATAATATATATTTATTATAATTTTTTATACATATTTATATATTAATATATTTTTATATATTTTTGTATTTTTATATTCATGTATATTTATATATACATTTTAATTAAAATCTTTAATAATTTTTTTTCTTATTTAATAAAACTTATTAGTTATAAAATATAATACGATTACTAAATTTTAAATATTATATTTATAGAAATATAATATTAATATTATTTAATTTAAAAATATTTTAATAAAATAATCCTAATATTAATATATTTATTTTTTTAAATAAATAATTAATTATATAATTACAATAAATTAATTAATTTTTTTTTAAAAAAAATGGATTTAGAATAAGCAAACAATACAAAAGATATAAATTTAGTTGTATAGGGAGATCAAAAAGTATCTGTAGATTTTCGTTTTAAAAATGTTTCAGGTTTAATATATGATATGCATGAAAATAATCCAGATGAAGATATTCCTATATAAGAAATTACTAAAGAAATGTTAAATACAATCATAAGTTATTGCAAAAGACATAATTGGACTCCTCCTTAAATAAAAAGGCCTTTAAAATCAAATAATTTATAGACAAATTTATGCGAATAGGATTATTTATTTATTAAGGATTACAAAATATATAATGATACAAAATTGAGAGATTTAATTTAGGCAGCTTATTATTTGTAGATTTAGAGTCTTTATGATGTATGTATTTGTAGATTGGCAAGCGAATTCTATTTTGGAAATGATTAATAGTCTTTTGAAGATCTTAAGAAGAACTTAAATGTCACTGAAGATATTACTATTGAATAAGATGAGAAGATTTAAAAAGATCATCCTTGGATTAGGGATAATTGATTTTTTTTTTTTTTATTTTATAAATAAATGTTAGTATTTTTCTTTCTTTCTATTATTATAAATATTTTTATTATTTCTTTTGCTTAATTATATACATATATATATTTTTTTTAATTTAATGATTATATTATTTAATTTCAAATAAAAAAATAATATTAAATAAACAATAGATTAGAAAATTTGTTTTTAAAATTATAAAATAATTATATTAGAAATAAGAAAAAAAAGTATTATCATTTAAAAATAAGGAAAATTTAATTATGATTATTAGAAAATAGTTTAGTTGAATTTCAATCAAATATATAAAGCTAGCAAATTTTTGAATTTTAAAAGTCAAAAAGTTAACCTTAAATATTATTAAATTATAATGAAAATATCAAAGTATTTGAAAATTAATCTAATTATAGTAGATTTAAGATTTTTTAAAACCAAAAATATATTAAAAATAAGAATAATAAAAAAATTAATAATAATAATAATTGTGATAATTAAATAAAGAAGAGTAAACTGTTTTTTTATAAAAAAAATAAGTTAATTATAAATAAGAGGCTATAAATGAAAATAAAAAACTTTTATTTTTTTAATAAAAGAAATTCTTGAAGTTTAAAATATATTATAATAAGGTAAAAAAAGAAATTATTATTAAAGAAAAAAAATAAAAATACTTTAAAGTAAAATAATAATAATACAAAAATAAATAAAAAAAAAAATATTAATATATATAATGAATGAAATTTTAAAAATATAAAAAAAATATTATATATTTATTAAAAATTGATTATAATAATATATTTTAATTTATTTTTTTAATTAAGGGTTTTTAATTCATAATCAGAAAAAAAATTTAAGCAATCATATATATTTCAACTTTTTTTACATTTTCTGTATAACTCAAATATTTTCCTGTAAATATTTATAAAAAAATTGCATGAATTATAATGACAATTTATTATTTTGTTATTATGAATTTAATGCAGTAACTTACTAGTTTTGGTTAACAAGATAAATAAGCCGATTTTTCAAAAAATAGGTTCATTTAATTAAATACAAAATCTTAATATACAATGTCATTAAAATTTAGAATTTTTTAAATATTTTTTTTTACTTAATGTTTGTATTACAAAAAATTAATGATGTGTAACAAATTTAAATTTAAATAATTAAAATCAAAAAAATAATAATAAAAATTAGTTTTTTTAAATATTTAGTCTTTAAATTTTAATATCAATGCTAAAAAAAAAGTTTCATTTATTGATTTTTTTGATTTTTATATATATATAAATATAAATATATTATATTTTAATATATATATTATATATACATATATAATTATTTTATTTCGATAATTTCATATAATCATAAAAATAAATTTATAAAAATTCTTTTCCATATAAATTTTAAACTTTTATCTAAATCTATTTTCATTTATTTTTAATTTTTCTTTTCAAAATTCCTTTATAATAATATTTATATATAGAAAATATACATTTTTCATGTTAATGTATTTATATTTATTTTTTTATTAATTTTTATATTTTATGTTTATAATTAAAGTATTTTTAAATTAATAGTTTAAGAAGTAAAGTTATTTCAGAAAAACCATATGTAATCCGAATCAATTATGAATTTTTTTTTTAATTTTCGTGTTTTTCTTGAAAATATAATGTTTATTATTTATAAAATATTAATCATTTATATAAATTAATTTATAAATTAATTCATGAATATTTTTTAATAAATTAAATAATTATTTTATGAAAAAAAAAAATTGAATAAAATTTTTTAAGCAGTACTATTTCTAATTTTTAAACTAATTTTACAAGAAATTTAAAGTTTTCAAGTAGTTAAAAGAGTATAACTAGTAAAAATAAAGAAGGAGATTAGCTTTGGAATGAATACATGAAAATAAAAAAATATATAGTGAAAAATAATAGCCAATTAATAACAAAAAATGAACCTTTTAGGGAAAAATTCTATAAATAAAATTTCAAAAAAGACGGAGTTTTTACTAATGATAAGGTCCAGTGTATTTTGGAAGGAAGGAAAAATTGGCTTAGGAAATATTAGCTTTAAAAAAATTCATTTACGCAGTTTTTGTAAGGAAAAAATGTCGATTAGAAAATTATTAAAGGACATTAAGAAGTTATTCATCCTTCTCCAATAGATTTTTTATTTAAAAAAGAACAAAAAAAGGTAGTAGCGAAAAATGTGAAAAGCAATGAAGAAAATAAGAATTTTTTAAAATAAAAATACTACTTTTAGTAATAAATAAAAGACATTAAGGAAATAAATAATAATTTTAAAGATGAAAAAAGACCGAAAAGTGCTTTAATAACAGTTTTAAGTGAATAATATTTATAAAAAGAGAAAAAAAAGATAGAAATAGACCCTATAAGATAAAGAATGAAGGAATTTTTAGAGCATTTTTTAGATGGAGAGTAGAAATATTTTCGAACATTAGAAAACTAAAAAAAATAGGGAATTATTTAATTTGAAAATAGTGTAAAATGTTGCCAGAAATTTTATTTTAATAATATATATAAACCATAAGAGAGATTTGTTTAAAAAAACGATTTAAATTTGGAAAAAAGAGTGCTTTGTTTATAATTAAATAGGAAAGTTTAATTGGCTAAAAATATTTTTTTATCTAAAAAAAATAAAAACATGCACTTACTATGGTTTAGATCTAAAAAAACAACAAAGAAGATGATAAATGGAAAAATAAAAAGATTTTCTCTTTATAAAAAATTGATGAAAGGGAAGCTTTTTAAAAGGAAATTTAGTAATAACAATATGAGTTGTAAAAAATTTAGGATAAATTATAAAATGTGAAGAATAAAATTGATTTCAAAAAATATATTCCCGAATCTCATTTAGAATTTATAAAAAGTATAAAATATGGGGAAATTTAAAAAATATAGGAATTATTAGAAAGATATGGGAATAATCTCATTCATTCAGCACATGATGAAAAAGGATAATATGGACTACATTGGGCTGGTAAAAGGGGATTTAATAAAATTATTAAACTTTTAATTAAGAGGGGAGGGAATGTTTTTGTGAAAGATTTTTAAGGGAAAACTCCTTTAGATTATGCTGTTTAATATAATTAAGGGAAGTGTGTTGAAAATTTGAGAAAATAAATGCAAATTGTATTAAGTTTAGAATAAAAAATGAAGGAAGAAATGGAAAATTAAAAAATTATTAAAAGTTAAATATTTTAAGTTTAATAATGATTTTTTAATTAATATTTTTTCTTTTTTTTTTTTAAAAAAAAATAATATTTCCTTTTTATTTTATTTAAATAAAAAAAATATTAATTTTTTTTTAAAAATTTAAAAAATATGATTGAAAAAAATTCATTAAATATAATTTAACCTTTAAGTTCAGTTCCTTTGTAATTTTTTATTTTATGCGATTTCTATTATTAGCTTTTTTATTTTGCAATAGAAGGTCTTTTATTCTTTTATAAAGGATATGGATTATATTATCCAGATAATACAATTATTAGAGATATGGCTATTTTAACAATTTTAGCAATTTTATAGTTCAAAAGATTATAATTAGGGGGTATAGGAAATAAAACAGAATCAAGTAGTTATACAGTAATATTTTTATTAATCAGTTTACCTACTATTATTGGAATAGTCTATTTTATACAACTTTAAACATATGTTTTATATATTGAATTTATTATCGGAGCTGTTAATTGTGTTATTGTTATAATTGAATGGCTTTTAGGAATAATCGCTATAAGTTATTTTAAAAGTTATGAAAAATAATAATATTGAATTTATAAATATATGTATATATATTTAGTTATTTTTAAAAAAATATATATATATAAACAAATAGGTTTTTTAAAATATTATTTAGTGTATTGTATATTTTATCATTTTAAAATAATAAATTTAAATAAAAAGTGTATAATAATTATATATTATATAATATTTAATTTATATTATTTTATATATATATTAGTGCTCTTCTTAATAGTAGTTTTTTTAGATGAAAGCAAAAAATAATAAAATTTAAAGTATATTAATAATGATCAATTAAGTAGTTAATTTAATCTGTCTATAGATAATTAAATGATATCGTATAAAGTAAATAGTTAGGTTAGTTAATATTAAAGAATAAAATAGTCTATATTACTAATCAAGAAACTATATATAAAAAATTGTTCAATGTTTTGGATTTAGAAGATATAAATTGAAGTAAATAAAATAGTTGTTATGATAAATCTTTATAAAATAATTACAATTTTGCATAAAAAAGGACTTAAGTCTTTTAAAGATAGAAAACTAATAAAAATACTTATAAGAATTTTTAAATTTCTAATGACTTTGAACTTATTTTTGATGATACTCATATGTTTATTGTTAATTTTTATAAAACTTAAGAATTCGGTAATTCGAGAAATACTTTCCTTTTAATAATGTGTAAAGTTTGAGAAAGAAAATAAATGTATTTTATAGAAAAATTATATATAAGAAAAAAAAAAAAAAAACCAATAATAAATGAATGGACTTTTTCTTTAAAAAAAAATATATAATGTTTTATAAATTTATATTAGAGATAATATTTTTTTAATTTATATAAAAAAGCTATTTTTAATTATGTATATTTTTATTTTTATTTATTTCTTTATATACAATATTTAGTATTGTTTATTTTATAATTATTTTTTATTAAAAAATAAATTTAAAATAAAAAAAAAATACAATTTTTATGCACTTTGCGGTCCTATAGGCAGGTAAAAATAGCTTAAAGGGTGGTTTAAGGTGCTAAATTAAACTCCATAATTTATTGTAAAATAAATTGAAATTAAATGCATAATTTATTATATATAAATTATAGCTTTTAATTTCACGGAAACAAATATAAATTACATAAGCAAATTAATAATTTTATATTTTAATTAAAACACATATTACTCTATATACCAAATCTTAATATTTTTTTATTAATATATATTCAAAAAAAAAAAAAAAAAAATCACAAAATAAATATTTAACATTATAACTAATATTTTTTAATTTTTTTTTCATATATAGAAAATAAAAGATTTTTTTATATTTCTAAAATTAATTAAATATCAATTATGTCGAGTTTTTATTTTTTTTTAATATATAATTATAAAAAACTATTCATTTATTGTTAATAAAATAAAAGTGTAAATTTAAAATATAAAAAAAAAAAAATGAAAAAAAAAAAAAAAACTAAAACAAAATAATGAAACAAAACAAAACAAAAAAATCAAATATATAATCCTTCTGGTACATCCCCTTTCTTAAGTTAAAGGACTTTATCTTTAGCTTTTTCGAAGTCCTCCAAAGTGACTTTCATTCTTCTTTCTCTTAAAGCCAAGAGTCCAGCTTCAGTACACATAGCCTTAATATCTGCCCCATTTAAATCATCTTTTGCATGCACGAAACTATCGAAGACTACATTTTCTGTAATGTTCATTTTCGTTGTATGAATTTGGAAGATTTTTTTCTTTGTTTTCATATCAGGTACTGGGAATTCTATTTTTCTGTCAATTCTACCTGGTCTAATAAGGGCAGGATCTAGAGACTCTATTTTATTGGTAGCTAAGATAACTTTTACATCTGATCTAGAATCAAATCCGTCTAATTAATTCAACAATTCAAGCATTGTTCTTTAAATTTCTTTTTCTCCTCCACTTGATGTGTTATATCTATTAAATATAAATATTTTTTTTTTTTTTTCTTTTGAAAAATAAATAAACCTTTTAGAACCTACGGCATCTATTTCATCAATAAAAACAATTGTAGGAGCATGTTCTTCGGCTACTCTAAATAATTCCCTTACTAATTTAGGGCCTTCACCAGCATATTTTTAAATTAATTCCGAACCAACAATTCTAAGGAAAGTAGCCGAAGTTTCATTTGCAACAGCTTTGGCTAAAAGTGTTTTTCCTGTACCTGGAGGTCCATATAGGATAACTCCTTTAGGAGGTTTTATACCCATATCTTCGTAAATTTCAGGATGGGTTAAAGGGAGTTCGACTGCCTCTTTTATTTCAGTGATTTGAACCTCTAAACCACCTATATCAGCATAACTTTCTAAAGGAGCTTTTTCTACTTTCATAACATTTAACATAGGGTCTACTTCATCTTACATTATACCTACTACACTCATACTACGATGGTTTAATAATACTGTAGATCCGGGTTCTAGTTAATCTTTGTCAACAAAAGATAAAATATTTACGTAATATTCGGGACCTATGGATGATACTATGGCATGATCTTCGTCTATAAATTCCTCTAGGTTTCCTATTAACATTGGAGATCCTCTAAGTTGTTCTATTTTTTTTCTTTCTTCCTAAATATATATATATATATGTTTTATTGAGCTTTTTTTTTACGGTTTCATGCTCGTCATCTTCAATGTCGCTTATTTCGGGTTTTTGTTTTTCGTGATTCTATATAAATTCTTATTCCATTAATAAATAATCTTTTATACGGTCTAATTTTAATTGTCTAAGACGGCATTTAGTTACTGGAGTGACTTTTATTTATATTATTAGTTGATTTTTTTAATTTTATAGGTTACCTGTTGGTAATTTTACAGCTGTGTCGACTCCTTTATTCTTTTTTTTACGACCGATACGTGCTGGGATTACTTTCTTCTCTTTTGGCACTTTTTTTATATTTATTTTTTTATTTTATTTTTTAGGATTTATTAAATTTTTTTGTGGTTACTTTAATCTTTCTTTTTTTAATCTTTTTTATCTTTTTAGTTTGGTAAATTACCAAATGCGCCCTGTCCTTGTTGGTTTCCCATTTAGATTTTTTTAATATTTTTTTATTTATATATAATTTAATTATTATTATAAATATATTAATTTTTAAAAATATATTATTTTAATAAGATCAGAATATCATTTATTAATAAATAAATATTATTATTTTTTATAAGAAATAAATAAAAAATGTTATTTTTTTTTTAATATTTTTAAAATAAATAATATTGAAAAGTTTTTTTTAAAAAAATTACAATTTATACAAGCTTTTTTGAAAAAAAAAAAATTAAACATCTATAAACTAATATATAAATATAAAAAAATTATTTAAAAAAATAAATAAAATAAAATTATACATATTAATACAATCTATCTATATATATAACTTTTTATTATTTTAAATACAAAAAAAAAAAAAAAGTATCATTTAATCTTTTGTTTTCTTAATTCTTCTATTTCTTATAACTATTTGGGTTTATCTGAAGTTCTAATAATCAAATAAAGACAAGTTAAAACCGACCAAACAACAATTGCATATTCAAATACATTATCATTATAGAAATATTTAAAAAATCTTAAATTTTTGACTTATGTATTAAATATATCTATTAAAGAATAAAAAAAAATAAAAAATAAAATAAAAATACTATCAATAGCAGTTAATCTAGCATATTAAGAGAAAGCTTTTGCGCAAAATTAACAAACAGCAACACTACATATTAAAACAAGGTTTATATTAAAAAGAAAACTATTCATCCATGTTTCATTCACTTTCATTGGATGTAAAGTAAATATAAAAGGAATTCTTAATCCAAATTTAATATTTCCTTTTTGAACACACCAAAGTAAATATAATGATAAAAATGCGAAAAGAGCAGTCGAAAGAAAACTTACTCCCGATGATTCTAATTCAATAAGCATTTCATTTAAAAAAGGAGCTTTAGGAAATCCATTTATATCACTTGATAATACATATAAGATTCTAAAGGTTTTTATTTAATATATGTTTATTTATTTTAATTTACATATGTAACCACCAAATAATAGAAACAATAAAAAAAATAACTCCACCTATTAATTTAAAAAACCATATAGCTGGATTAATACCTACTATATTTAATTCTAATTTAAAAATTTAATAATCTCTTTCTAAACTTAAAACATTTACTCGAAATTGATTTTACATTTTTTTTAATTTATTATTTTCTTTTCTTTTTTGCCAATATCCATCTGCTACGCTTGTTTCTGAAAGTTATCCTATTATTAAAATAAAAATATATATGTGTATTTATATATATATACATATATATACATATAATATAATAAAGATATATACTTTTAACTTCTATTCCTTATTCAATTAATTTTTTTGTTTTTTATTTTAAAATTTCCTTTATTTCATAAGCTTCCTTACTACTTCGCAATTTAGGTTTATTAATAAATTCTTAAATTAAGTCTATAGGGAGTGCAAAAAGTCCAACTCCTCCGAATAAAACAAATAAAAAATTACCAATAAAACTGGTAAAAGCCATAACATAAATAATAAAGCTAACTTCATATGTAATTGAAATATTATTATAATTCATAAGTTTTGAAACTGCACTTTAAACTACTAGTTAATCAGAAGGAACAAAAGGATTTGAACTCGTATTTGTGATGTATTCGATAGGAATGTCTGCAAATTTTAAATATGCCCATGATATAAAATAGGCTATGGATATAACTATAAAATAACATATTTCCATAAATAAAGCTGATAATAAACGAGATAGAAACGGCTTCTCATCGTCCGTTTCATACATTAGTTGAGCGAATGGAATTACTATGCTTACCATTATTCCAATTATCATATATATAATTTACCAAAAAACTTCCATATTTAAATCATTGCCATTTCCTCTTTTAAAATATATAGATAGATATATGTATATATATATATATATATATATATATATATATTTATTTAAATGTATATTAATATTTTTTTTTTATTTACCTTGAATTTGATACATCTAATGGTAAAATTAGTACTTAAGCCCAACTCAAAGTACATCCTATAATCTTTTTATTTTATTATTATTTTATAATTTGTTTTAAATTACGACAATTATTTTGCAAAATAACGATGTTCCCCACCCTCTATCATCAGCTATTTATATTTTTAATATATATATTTTTATTTATATATATATATATATAATATAATTATTTTTTAAATATATGTTATTGACATTATTAAATATAAGTTATTTTTATCATCTTATTTATATGATAATTTTTAGCATTTATTTAATATTATTTTATATTTTAATAATGTTACGATGACAATATAATATTAGTAAATAAAAGCTTGTAAAAGTGAGTAAAATTGCAATAACTATTGATATTATTATTAAAAATACATCAGCCATTTTTTATATTTATGTATATAATTTGGAAATTTTTTTAATATTTTTTTTCTATAATTTAAGTAATATTTTAATTTTATTAATAAATAAATAAAATAGAACAATTAATACATTTTAAAATTAATTGATATATTATTATAATAAATAATTCTAAAAATAAAATAATTGATATGAATATGTTGTTTTTAAAATTTATAACTATATTTAAAATTTAATGATTAAATTATAAAATATTTATATAAATATATATGTATATGTATATATATATATATATATATATATATATATTTATAATTATTTTATATGATAAAATTAAGGAAATATATTAAACAATGTTTAACATTATTAAAAAAAAAAAGCATAAATTATTTTATTTAATAAATTTTTGTTTATAAAATTATTTACAAATCTTTTAAATAAATTTACAAACTAATTATTATTTAATTAGTGTAATAAAAATCGGAATTAATTTAAATTTTCTTTTAACTTTAAATTAAATTTTAGTATTTTTAATGACTATTATTTATTAATTAAAATATATTATAAGACAAACTAATCTAAAAAATTATCAACATAGCATTATATTTACTGGTTAATATATAATAATTATATAAATTTATAAATATTTATATGTATATAAATTTTTTCACATAAAAATTATAATATTAAATCCCTATTTTCTTTTAATCTTATATATAATTACATAAAATAAATATTAATTTTTATTTTATTTTATTCACATTTAATTTTAAAATACATAAGCAATTAATCTTTAAACCTTAAATAAAAATAATATAAATTTTAATAAAACTCTATTTTTTTTTATACATTTTCTTAATTATCTGTATATAAAAAGAAATTATTTTTTTTACCAAATAAAGAACCTTAAATAATCTATTTAAAATCTCCATTATCATCAATTCTAACTGTACCTAATGCATCTGCGAACGAAACTGCATTTTTACAATCTACTTATATAAATGAAAAAGTAAATTTATTATCTTAAATATAATTTATTTTATCAAAATATTTTTACTATTTTTATTTTTTTTTTAAATAAAGATAAAAATATATTAATATTTACAATATTATTCATATTAAATTTTGGTTAGAAAAATTAAGAGAAAAATTAAACCTCGTTCTTATCTAATTTTTAAACTATTACAAATTTTTCTATTCTAAATTTTAAATCTTCCATTTTTCTGAAAATATCATAATATTTACCTTCAAATTATATTAAAAGAACTGCTTTTTCCTTTAAATTTAATAAGTTTTAATTTTCGTTTAAAAAAACACTGAAAACTGAGCTTTATAAAAGCTTTATTTCTTATATTATTTTTTAAAAATGACCGTAGTTTTCAGCACAAAAGACCATTTTTTATAAAATTTCTTCTTTGTTTTTACTAAAAGCCTTATATTTTTCTTCAAGTTCGTTTTTCAGTACTTTTCTTGTATAAAAAAGTGCATTTTTTCTCTTCAATATTAAACATAAATAGTCTTTTTTTTCATAAGTTTCAATTTTTTAGTCTAAAAAGACTTCCTCTAGGGGCTAATTTTCTTTTATTTTTACAGAAAAAAGTACTTCAAATTATAAAGACTCTAATATTTTGAAAAAACCGATAAAAAGTAGGACTTTTAATAGTCTAAAATCTACTAAAAGAACACTTTCTTGTTTAAAATCGCCTTTTTTTTCACTTTTAGGTATATCGTGTATGAAACTTTCACTTAGAAAAATATCATCAATCGGGTTTAAGTTTATTTTTTTGGAGAAATTCTCGAGTTCAGAACAAGAAATTTAAAAGGTAAAAAATTCGGTGGTTTCTGGGAAAGTTTTTTAAAGAATATTATTTTCAGTAAGTTATGGATTTTAAATCAATTTTTGGAATTTTTCCGGCAATTTTGGACTTTAAATTCTTAAAAGCAGAACTAAAGGTGACTTTTCAAGCGTTTTTTAGGTAAAATAAGGGATATATTATGGGATTTTAGGTGCTGTTTTTTTATTAATAGAATTGTTTTTGCAAATAAAGGCTTAGAAGAAGTCAATTAAGTCACTTTAGTCGAGATTTTGGGAAAATTTGGATATGTTTAGGAGTTCATGTGTACTTTCTTGTCCCAAAAGGTAGGTTAGTTTGCTAATTAAAGCTTTTTCGGGGACATTTTAAGGTTATTGAGGGTAATAAAGAGCTAATATATACGGGAAATCATCTGTTAGGGTAAATTCTGATGGTTTTAGTGAAGAATTAAAAAAAAAATTTGAAATTTGGGTTTTTTAAAAATCATCTTCTGGGATGATTTTGATTATTTATTTAGGGTCATTTGTTAGTTTTTTTTTTAAGGATTTTTAAAGTTTTAGGTGCAATATTAAATACATTTTTTCAAGGTTTTAATTTTAGAGGAAAAAATTCAGAGGATTAAGAAAGTTTTGGTTTTATATTTAAGACTAAAAATCATAATTATTTTACAGTTTTTTTATATTTATTAATTCTACGTTGTATTTATATAATTTTTAAAAAATTTTAGGAATATTTAATAAAGAGTTGTTAAAAAAAAAATCTGTAAATATATAGAATTATTCAGTTTATTAAATTGAGAATGAGTTTAACAAAAAAAAAGGGTTTTTGTAAATTTATTAATCTAAGTATTTTTATTATTAGTAAAGTTAACCAGTAAAAAAATATGAAAAAAATCTCTTTGTATATACATAGTTTGATAAAAAAATAATGTCATCATTTAATTTTAAAGATTTTTAAATTTCTATATAAAAATATATGAATATATATATATAAATATATATATATATAAATATATATATATTTATATTTATTTATTTTTATACTTTTTGTTAATGTTTCATAATTTGATATTGCTATTATTATATATTGCGTATTTTATTATTTTAATATTATATGAGTTTCTAAGTTTTTTTTAATAATTTCTTATAAATTTGGATTATTATAGAATGATTTCATTCCTAACAGTTATACTTGATTTTGCTCTAGTATTTAAAATAAATATTATAAACTATTGTTGCTGTTTTTGAGTATTATTATATTATTTTATCTTTTTTTTAGTGTTTCTTCAGTTTCTTGTAATATATGGAATGTATTTTGGGGTTTTTCAAATAAGTTCTTAATATCAGATTGTTTTATATTCTTATTTAATAGATCTTCTAATATTTTATTTTCGATTTTATAACCTTTTTTTGTTAGGTCTTTTTATGTTTTTTTTGAAATTAAATTTTTTAGACTAATTTTTAGGATGTCTTTGGGATTATTTTCAATTAGAAAAGATAAAAACAATGCGTTTTGAAGTGTTTTTTCATCGAATTTCTATATGTAATTTTCTGTAAAAGAAAAAGTGCCTAATTAGAAGGATTAAAGTTTATTTTATTAAAAATAATCTAATTTATATTATTTATTTTTGTTTATTATATTATTTTAAAAAATTTATATAATGTACTTAATATATCATTTAAGAAATAAATATTTTAATTGAAAGTTTAAAATGTATAGAAAATATAATTTCCTATAGAAGGGAGTAATTCGTAATGTTTTTCTAAAAAAGAAATATGGTCATCTATGAATTAAAAAGAGTATTTATGAGCTTAAAAGTATTTAATTTTTTAATTGTTTCTTCTAAATATACATTATTACTATCATTATTATTATTTTCTTATTGTTAATATTATTCTAACTCTTAATTTTTTTCTAAGAGCAATTTTTTAAAAGCCTAAGTTTATTAAATTGTTAATATTTCTTCGTTTATATTAAGACTATTTTCGTTTTTTATTTAATCTTGATTTTTTTTTTTTTATTCGAATCTTTTTTTTTCTTCTTCTAATTGTTTTTTGAAATTATTGCTGGTATGAAAATCGTAATATTCTTTATTCTCTTAATCTTCTTTTTCTTGATCTTCATTTTCTTCATTTATATAGTCATATTGATCGTTTTTTTAATAACTTTATATTTGTTTGTTTTTTTCTATAAAAGAAGTACTTTTTTATTTAAGTATTTATTTCTCTTTTTTGTTCTATTCTTTTCTTTTCTTTATATATTGTTCTATTTCTTCTTCTTTTTAAATACCTTTTCTTTAAGCTTCTAAATAAAAATCATCTTCTTCATCTTCTTCGTTATCTTCTTCATTGAGAATTTCATTTAGATTTTTTATGTGATTTTTTGTATTCTTATAATCCTCTTCTTCTTTTTCTTCTTGATTATTTTCTGAGTTTTATTTTTGATTTTTTAATTATTTTATACTTTTTTCAATTAATTATTTATCAATATAAGCGAAATTATTTATCTTTTAGTCTTCTACTATTTATTATTAATTTTAAAAGAAATTATTTATTTAAACTCCTTTTTTACTTTTTCTAATTCTTAAACAACCTCATCTATATTAGTATTTATTTTTAATTCTTCTAAAATTTCTTATTCTTCTTCTTCTTATATTTCCTATATTTCTTAATTTTCTTAATTTAAATTGTCTTCGTTTTTTTCGTCTTTTTTTAATTCGGTTTTTTCCTCAGTTTTTTCTCTAGCAAACATACTTACGAAATTATCCATCATTTTGATTCCCATTTCCGGTTCTGGAGCTAAATTAAAATTATCTTAAGGTAAATTACCACTTGTTTTAATATTAATTTTTTAAGCCAATATTTTACTTGCATATTCATTTGTTAATTCTTCTTATTCGACAACGAAATCATTTCCTTATATAAATTTAGCTCTAAATCTATTTATTTATTAATATAATTCTTTTTTTTATATATATATTATTACATTAGAGGCTTATTATATATTTCTTAGTCATTTTCATAAGCTAGTTTTTCTAGATTCCTAAAAAATTCTAATTCTCTTTTTTTTTATTATTCTTCTCTTTTCTCTTTGTCTTTTATTCCCAATATACTATCCTTTAATACATTAAAGCTTGTTGGCTTTAATTTTTCGCCTTAATCATTTATATAATAGGAACTTTCTTTTTCTTGTTAGGTTATATTTAAGTAATCTTTATTAGTTCTTTATTAAGGAAGTCTATCTATTATTTCGTTTAATGATAAATTTTATGCAGGATCTTGACAATTTAATAAGCTTTTAACTACTTTTTACTACACAACCTCTTTTTGGTCTTTTTTCTTTCTTAATGTATTTAGTACCATCTATTTTAGCAAGCTTCCTTTGATATATGAAAGTTTTAAAGGGCTTTTTATAGTTTAGTACTTATTTAGTCAAAATCAAATTCGTATTCAACTACAAAATGTGTTAGTTATTTATCTAAATATTAATCCCAGATTTCGAATATTTAATTTTTCATTTAATTTTTTATATATTTTATAATTAATTAAAAAAAAATTATTAATTTTTTTTAAAAAAATATATATATATATAAAATTTGTATCTATTTAGTGTTTTTATAATATAATATATTGAATGTATATAATTTTTTATTTTAAATAATAAAAAATTTATATAATCATTTTTTTATATTTATTAATAATAGGAAACATAAATTAAATTTATAATTTTAATTTACTTTTATATTGTATTTTTAAAATTTATATTTATATGTTTATATTATTTTTAAGATTAGTTATTTAATAAATATTAACTTATATAAATTTATTATATTTTAATTTAAAGTGTTTTTTATTTAAATTCAATTTTATTATTTAAATTAAATAAAATATTTAAAATTTATATGTTTTTTTAATTATATAAAATATTTAAATTTTTATAAAAAATTATATTATTATAAAATTTAATATAATATACAAATAATTATGATAAAATTTATAAAGATTTCTAAATATAAATAAAAGTAATAAACATACATATACATATAATTATATATATAATTATGTAAAATTAAATATATTTATATTTTATATATAATTTATTTATATATATACAAATTTTACTATATATTTTACTAAGAATATAAAAAAAATTACATTGTATTTTATTATATATTAATTAATTATAAATAATAATGTATTTAATATAAAAAAAAAATATTTTTTCAATTTTTTACATATTTTTATATCTTTATAAAAATAATTATATAAAATATAATGAATAAATAACTATTCAATTTACCTTTTAAAACGAAAATCGGATCTAAAGATGATATAATAAAAGCTATAGAATAAAATATATAGACAAAAAAACATATAAATGTTGGCTTTTTATTCTTCAGATTTAGATTTAATAATAGAAGGTAAAAAAAAAAAATATAAAAATAACTAAAAAAAAAAAAGATAGTGCATATATGTTAATACCATTAGACGATAGATTAATAAATAGATGCCATGGTATATTTGATAGCATGTAAATAAAAAAATATAGATTTCATAGAGTAATTTTAATAAATATATAATATTTAGTAATAATAAATCATTTATATATATATATATATATATATATATATAAATTATCTTATGTAAAATATATATTAATATATATATATGTAAATATATATATTTATTTTAAAAAAAAATATATAATACATATATATTTATATATATATTTTTATTTTTATACAAATATATACATTTTTTTATATAATTATAATATAATTTTTTTTAAAATTAGTTATAATAACATTTAGATAGATTTTAAGCTTCTGCTACAAAAGTTGGTATTTAATTACCTTTATCTATAGAAGAAATAAAGTAAAAAATGATAGAATTATCTTAATTTTCTTATATTAAATTATAATAATGTTCTGATATTAATTTATAAGATATTAATTTAAATATGAGAATTTGGTTGTCTTCTGGAAAAGGTGATTTTGGAATTTATTCTTTTGTAATATTATTTATTTATTTAATTTATATTTATTTTATAAAGGATAAATAACCTATTTTTTATTGTTGTACTTTTATACCTAATACTAATGTTGAAATTCTAAATAAAGGAGTTAAAGAGTATTGTGTTTAATTAGGTGAATAATAAGAAAATATGATAAAATCAGCTAAATCAACAAATTATTTAGAAAACGCAATTATAGCTAATACATCTAAATAAAAAGGAGGATATTAAGGATTAAAAATAGACGAAAACGGAAATGTATTGGAAGCTGCAATGGCTAATATTGGTATTGTATTGAAAAATCAAGAATTTTGGACACCACCTGGAGAGAAAATAGTAGAAGGAACAACTTTAAAAAAATGCTTTTAATTTATGAAAGAAGAATTAATACCAAAAAAAATAATTAATTAAATATAAATAAAATACTTTAATTTAGATTTTATATTTAAAAATGCAATTGAGGTTATATTATTTGGTGGAGATAAAGTAAATTAAATATAAATTATTAAAAATTATTTATATTAAATAAAAAAAAATATATAAACATAAAATAAAAATAGATAAAAATAAAAATAAAATAAAAAATATAAGTATATAAATATATAAAAATATAAATATATAAAAATATAAATATATATAATATATATTTATATATTTATTTATTCAAATTTTTATTTTTTTATATTTTTATATATTTATATATCTTTTTATTTATATATTTGTATATGTTATTATATTTTAAATAATATATTTTTTTATCTATTTTTATTTTTTTATTATTAAAAATTTTTAAATTCAAAATAATTAAATATTTTATATATAAAATATATATAATATAATTTTATTATTTTTAATAGATTATTCCTGTTCTTTCTATTAACGACATTTTTATTGGAGATGGAAATAAAGGTGTTGTTTGTGAAAACATACAAAAATGGTATATTAATTAAGGCGGAGAAGATGAAGGAGATGAAGAAATTGATTTAAGTTTTTTAAAAAAATAATAATGAATATTTAAAATTTTTCATATGATAAATAATTATATATAATTTTTTTTTTTATATTTTTAATAATTATTTTACTATTAAATAAATTAATATATTTTAGATAAAAAAAAATTCTTTCATAATTATATTTTTTAAATAAAAATATAGTTATTTAAAATAATTAAAATAATATCTTTTATATTTTTAACATTATAAATAAAATACGCTTTTAAAAATTAAAAAATAACATTAAATTTTTTTTTTAAATTATAAAATAAATACAATATAATAATAATATTTTATAATTTAAACTTAAAAAAAATAAAAAATATGTTATCAAATAATAATATATTAGTTTCAAGTAACTCTAATGAAATCTTATAAGAGGAAGTTAATATAATGAATAATTTATAAACTATTAATAAAAAACATTCTATAATACAATCTAGTTATTTTCCTTTTATAGATTTTGTAGAGACTTCAAAGGAAATATTATTAGAAGATACATTATATATATCATTTGATCCATTAAAAAATATAAAAATAGAGGCTAATATAACTATAAGAAATGAATTTATAGAAATATATAAATTAGAAAACGATGTTAAATCTATATAAATAAAAATATAATGGGAGGACTTTTTAGGGTGCGATTATATATAGATTAAGAAAACTAAAATATATAAATTTACTATTTATACATTTAAAAAATACACAAAAAAATTTGGACAACAAGAAAATAGATATTTATCTAATTTAAATTTTTATCATTTTGATTTATAAAAAATGAACGTACTTAAAATTTTATTACAAAATTATGCCAGAAATAAAAATTATATAGAAAATAATAAAGAAAATTTAAAATAGTAAATACTCGTAAATACAAATGATAAGTTTCTAATTTTTATTAATCCTTAAGGTGGAAATGGTCAAAGTTAAAAGAAATGGAACAAAATTAAATATCTTTTTGAAAAATCGGGAATAAAAACTGAAGTAATAATAACAAAAAAAAGAAATCATGCTAAAGAAAAGATATTAAGTATATATATTTATATATAAATATATATATTAAATCATATAAATAATATTTATATATAATCTTTTTTTTATATAGATATGAATAAAGAATAATTATTAGATTACAAAGGATTAATTTCTGTTTCAGGAGATGGTTTACCTCATGAAATAATAAATGGATTATTTAAAAGAAACGATAGAGATGAAATTTTAGATTATATAGGTTTAGGTATTTTACCTGGTGGAAGTGGCAATGCAATTATTTCTAGTATTTTATATTAAATTTAGGAGCCTAGAACTTTAGAGTGTGCTGCTTATTAAATTTGTAAAGGTGTATTTCATAAAATGGATATATTTAAATTCTAATGCAGTTAAAATTAGCATTTTTATGGAGTTTTATCAGTAGCTTGGTCATATATTTGCGATTGTGACTTAAACTCAGAACATTTGAGGTTTTTGTCTGATCTTAGATTTGATGTTTTTGGCGTTTATAGAGCAATTTTTTAGAAAAATTATAAAGGGAAATTATCTTTTACTTGTTAAAATATAGATGCATTACCTCCTTTAGAATAAAGTTTGGAGAATAATGAAGATTGGAAACATATAGAGAATGAATTTAAGTATTTTATGTTAATGAATACTCCTATGATTACTAAAGATTATGTATGTGCACCTTTATGCAAAATAGATGATGGGTTTTTAGATTTATAATATGTTAGTAAAAATGAAGGATGGTGGTAGTTTGTAAAATTTGTATTGAAGTTTTAGAGTGGATAACATTTTTAAAAAAATAGTGGAATTAAATTTTCACATTAAAAGATAAAAGCATTTAGATTAGAAGATTTAGGAAGTGGACATGGATAATTTTCAATAGATGGGGAAAAATATGAAAGTAAAATAATATAAGGAATGATTTATAATAAATAATTAAATATATTTAGTTTTTGAAAAAATTAATATATATATACATTATTTTATATATTTTTTTTAATAAAAAATTATATAAAAAAATAAAAAATAAAAAAAAAAATTATTAAAAATTTTAAAAAGATTAAGTAAAAAATAATTAAAAAATATAATAATGTAGGAAAATTATAAATATATATATATATATATATATATATATATTTATATATATATTTATATATATATATATATATATTTATAATAGATATATTTATATGTATTATTAGTAATGATTTATTATTTAGTTAAATGAATCATTTAATTATTTTATATCATACTTAATTAAGTCATTTTTTTTATATTTATAAAATAAATTTAGTTACGTATTATATTATAAAAATTTTTTAAACATTGTTATATACAATTAATTTTTAAAATTTTTTTTTTTTTTATTAAAAAAGAAATATATATATCTTCAATATTATTTTATCAGTAATTTATTTTTTTTAAATTTATCTTTTTTTTCTTTTATTATATAAAAAAGAATTTTTTTTTTTGTACTTTATGCTTTAAACACCTTTTTTTGAACTTATAATAAATTTTATTAAATAAATCTAATAATAAAAATCATACTGATATAAAAATCACATATCAAGAATCTATGGAAATAAAAAAAACAAAAGCTCTTTATTTACAAGAATATTGTTAACCTTTAATTGTAAAAGAAATAGATATACCTGCTTTATAGCCTAATTAAGTTCTTATAAAAGTTGAATCAGCTCCTATAAATCCTTCCGATCTCTTATTTATATAAAATAAATACCCACATTAAAGAAAAGCACCTTGTGTTGCAGGGTTTGAAGGTTCTGGTACTGTAGTAAAAAGCGGAGGAAATGACATAGCCGACTCTCTTGTAGGAAAAAATGTATCTTTTATAACTACTTCTGAACAAGGTTCATATTCAGAATATACAATAGTTGAGGCTTAATATGCTATTGAAATAAAAGGCGATATTTCATTCAATTAAGCAAGTACTAGTTTCGTGAATCCTTTTACAGTAATAGGAATGTTATAAACTGTTTAATAAAAAAATGTAAAAGCAGTTGTGCATTCAGCTGCTGCATCTGCTTTGGGAAAAATGTTTGTAAGATATTTCCAAAAAAACAACATTAAAGTAATAAATGTTGTCCGAAGGGAAGAATAAGTAAAAGAACTAGAAAAAGAAGGTGCTGAAATAATATTAAACTCAGAAAAAGAAGATTTTAAAGTAAAAATAAAAGAATTAGCCGTAAAAAATAACGCGACGATTTTCTTTGATGCGGTAGGAGGAAAGTTAACAGGATAAGTACTAGAAAATATGCCTGATGGTTCAACAGCTTATATCTATGGAATTCTAGATTAAGAACCAGTCTAAGTTTCTTAATAAGAATTCGTATTTTAAGAAAAAACAGTTACTGGTTGGTGGCTTAAAAAACATTTAGCTTAAGTGGGAATTCAAGGATTTTAATTTATGGCATAGGAAATGTAAACATTGTTAGGTAGTTTACTTAAAACTGAGATTTAAGGAGAGTTTTCATTAAATTAAGGAAATTAAGCTATTGATGTTTATTAAAAAAATATGACTAAAGGAAAAGTTATAATAAAGCCTTAGTTATATAAATGAAAAATAATATATAAATAATGATATAAAAAGATATAAATATATATAAAAAAATATATTTATAAATTTCATAAATAATATATATATATATTAATATATATATATAAATATATAAATATTTATATATTATTTATATATTTATTTTATTTCAAATATGTTTAAAATTATAGTATATAAAATTAAAAAAAATAATTTTTATTTTTTTAATTAATTTTGAAATTAATATATTTTATATATAAAAATAAAAATATATTTAAATAATTATACATTTATATTTTATATTTTGCTATATAATATTAAATTATTACTTATATATAAATAACATATATAAACAAATTATCGTATATTTTTATATAAAATTTAAAAAAATGGATTTATTTAATTGTAAATTTTTCATTATAATTTTTTTTTAATTATATAAAAAATTAATATTAATTTTATTTGATTAAATATATATATTATATCTAAGATATTTTTTTAAATATATTATTATATTCTATATTTTTTTTATATTTATTTTTATTTTATATTTTTTATTTTTAGTATCTTATTATTTATTTCATTATATTATGATTTTTTTTTATTCTTAAATTATAATAAATATAAATAAAATATTATAATATTAATTATAAGTATTTTCCTTTTTAATTAAATTTTTAACATAAGAATAATCATTAATATATTAAAAATAAAATTCATTTTTTGAGTGTTTTTATTTTTTAAAAATAACAAAATTCAAAAAAATATATAATATATTTAATCAAATAATAATATAATTTTATTTTAATTTAAATAATTCCAAATATATCTTTAATTTCATTATTTGAGACATAAAATTTATAATTTCTTTTATAATTAATAATATCTTTTTTATTTACTCAACATTTACATTCTAATTTATTATATTTTTAGATTAAATATTTTTATAATATTAATTTTTTTTTTTTTGTGTTTAAACATACCATTTTTTTTCTAAAACTTTTAATTAATTTTAATTATTATGTTTTAGCCCCTTTTATATCCTAAGCATTATAATTAGACATTAATAGCTTCATTTTCATATTTCATTATTAACTAATTCATAATTGTTCTCAATTTATTTTATATCCTTAATATGTTATTTTCTTCCTCAAAGTTTTCTTTTAGCACCTTATTTTGATTAATTAAGGCTTCGATTTCTCTAGTATTTACATCTAGAAGGTTTTTTAATTTATTTATCTCACTCGTAATGACTTTGAGCTTATAATTATGCTAGTTTTTTAACAAGTCTAATTATTTTGTTATTTAATTATCCAATAAAGACTCTATATATTATAATTTTGTGGTAACTTTAAACAAAAATAGCTTTTTTCAATAATTTTTTTTTTGTAAAGTTAAACATTTTTAAGAAAGATTTTTTTAGTGTTTTTACTATTATTAGAAATTGTACTAAAAATGAATTCAAAAATTAATTAAATTTTGAAAAAAAAAAAAAAAAAAAGTGTTATATTATTCATTAATATTTCATATTTTTAATACAATAATTAACCCTAATTTTATTTCTATTTATTTAATTTATATCTATAATAGTAATATTTGTAAATATTTGATGCAAACTTATATTTTAGTATTTTTTATTCATTTTCATAGCTATTTATAAGGAAAATTAGCATTTTCTAAATCCGAATATTCATAATAATTAAAAATACATTTAAATTATTATTATATTTATTAAAAATGTTGTTTTAAGTAGCTAAATAATAGGGTTAATTCAAATTTATAAACTGATTTTTTAAAATTATAAAAAGATAAAGAAAAATTATTGTAAATCAGATAATTTGATAAACTTTTGATTTATTATCTATTTATAAATATATATAAATAATAATTAAAATTAAGAATAAATTCATTTATATAAAATTTTATATTCAGTCTCTTAGTTAAATATAATAAATTATTTGGCAATAATTAAATATAATAATGAAATATAGACATAAAATTTAAATTAATTATTATTTTATTAATCTAAATGGATTTCATTTATTAATTATATATTCTAAGCATTTAATAAATTAATTTTTTCTTAAAAAAAAAAAAAAAAAGTATGGAATATTTATCGAAAATACAAAAAACATTATACATTTTTGTTCTTATATGTTTAATTATTATTATATCTTTATTTAAGTATTTTTTTTTTTTTTCTTCTAATATTTAAAGATTTCAAGTTATCATTTTATATATATAACCTGTTAATTTTATAAAATAATAATAATAATAAAAAAAAAGAATATTTTATATAAACAAAAATTAAATTTAAAATAAATAAATAAAAAAAAAATAATATTTGAAATAAATAAAATTGTAGATTTTTTTATACTAATCAAGTTATCTATTTATACAAAATAAAATAAAAAATAATAGTTAATGACAACAAAATAAGAAAATCATGATTATTTATATAAAAGTAAATATTTTTTAATATAATAAAGGATTATATTAATTCAATAAAAAATATAAAAAGTAATTTTAGTTGGAGACGCAAGGGTAGGAAAAACAAGTTTTTTAATAAGATATGTAAAAGGAGTTTTACCAAAAAATCAACTTCCAACAATAGGAGTTGAATATTTATCGAAATCAGTACTTCTACAAGATGGAGAAGGCATAGTAAAAGCTTAAATATGGGATACATGTAATTTAGTAATTTATGATTAAAATAATTTAAAAATAAAATTATAAAAAAATAGCTGGTTCAGAGAAATATAAATCAATAACAGCAGCGTATTAATTTAATTATATAAAAAACAAAAATATATATATATATATATATAAAAAATAATAGACATTATCGAAAAAGTGTAGGCGCTTTATTATTTTTTGATTTGTGTGATTATTAGTCATTTTTGAATTCAAAAAAATGGTTAAAAGAAATCGAAAATCATACCGAAGAAGGAATTAAAATAATGCTTATAGGAAATAAATTAGATTTAATTGAAGAAAATCCAATTAATAGATAAGTAAATAAAGAAGAAGTACTAGAATTTTGTTAAAAAAACAATTTAATTTATTAGGAAACAAGTTCTTTAACAGGATAGAATGTTAAAGAATCTTTCGAATTTCTAATATAATGTATTAATATTTTATTAAGTATATTATTTATTTGAAAATAAATAAAGCAATTTATAAAGATAGTCATAAATGTTAATAAATAAATAATTAAAGTTTTAAAAATAATGATAATGATATTATCCTTAAAAAAGAAGATATAGTTTCTTATGATTAATAACCTGTAAAATAAAACTCTGGTTGTTGTAGTTGCTGAATTTATGTTATTATTTAAAAATATATATATATATAATAATTAAAAAATTAAAATAGAAAATATATAAATAGTGTTTTTATTGAATTTTTAATCTTTTTTTGCCCTTATTTATACAATTAATTTTTTTTATATTCAAAAAAAAAATATAAGTAAAATTTATAATTTTAAATATAAAAAATTGGTTTTCTTAACTTGTTTATATACTATATGTTCATTTAAATTTTTTATATAATATATGTTCACTTAACATGCGTTTAAAAAAACATATTGTTTTTAATTATTTGAATATCTTAGATGGATATTAATTATCTTAATTTAAAAAAATATATATCGTAGAATATTTATATAAATATATTATTATTTATTTTAAGTTGCAAAATGTAAAAATAATCATTATTTAAATATTTTATGTAATATGTATTTTTTAATAATTATATATTTGTGTTTGCATTTTTATTTAGTTTTATTTAAGTTTTATTATATGTAAAAACTAATATATATATATATATATATATATATATATAAATATTTATTAATTACTTTTTTTAATATTTTTTTTTTTCTATATTTGATTTTTGTTTTAATAATATTTATTTTATTTATAAAAATTTAAAATAATATTTATTAATTTTTTTTTTTTTTTTTTATTATAACCTTATGAATTCAATATTTATAACATTATGCGCCATTATTTCAATTTTATTACCTGATATATTGAATAAAATAGGATTAAATATACCCTTAATATAAGGTGAAATTTAAAATTCAAACGAAGATAAATAATTATACAATGATAAATATACATTTTTGGAAAGTTTGAAGAATAATTATAAGCATTTAATTGTACAAAATATAACCAAAAGTTAATAATAATATTATTGTAGAAATAATGAATAAGATAAATATTTTTAAGAAAATAACGAGAATATTTTTAATGAAATATTAAATAAATAAATCAATTACTGTTTAGAAAATTTGATTTCTAAAAATTCTATTAATAAATTAATATATGATAATAATAAAAATTAATTTTTTTTAATATCTATATTAAATAAAATTATATTCATGATAAGAGTGCAAATTCAAGTATTTTTTTTATATATATATAAAAAAAAGCATAAATTATAAATAAAACAAAAAGACATTATTATTTTAAAATTAAATAATTTTGATTTTAATAATGATAATAATAATTGTAATTTTTAATTTTGGAATTTGTGCACTTTTGATAAAATTAATGGGACTGTAAATGAATTTATATATGACTCAGTTTATTAGAATATAGTTTTTCTTTATAAAGATTCGGATTAAAATAATTATTTGAGAATTTATGAGAAAAGGGTTTTGTAATGAAGGTTTTATTTAAATGAAAGAGTTAAATAATTTTAAAGAAAATTAATTTTTTGTAAAATTTAGTAATTAGAAATAATTTAAAGTAGAATAAATTTATAATTTTATAAATTAGTTTAGTTAATTAAAAGTTAATTATTATGAAATTGGTTTAGATAAAGTACAAATTAATAAATTTGCTTTTTATAATAAACTACTCGTATATAATTATATTCCAGGAAAAATATTTTTGAATGCTATTTAATTTGATAAGTATTTATTTTAATATTATTATATAAAATATAAAATAAATTATAGGAATATTTTAATATATTAATGGAGGAGATTAATAAATTATTGAAATTCCGAAAATTAGATAAGATAATATTGAATATATTTAAATTATAAATATATAAATTGTTTAAATAAGAGAAAAATAAAAAACAATTATTACATATATAAAGTTTTATTATTAAAAATAAAAAAATGTTTTTAATTTATTTATTTTTATATAGAAAAGAAAATTCTGAAATTTTATTAAATTGTGAAATATTTGAAATTGATTTTTAGGAATTAAATGAATTAAAATAACATAATTTATTAGAAAGATATTTTTATGAAAATAATTATTCTAATTTATTTTCAAGGAGAATAACTAATTATGTTTATTTTTAAAATAAATATTTTAATATATATATGTATATATATTATAGATATAGACTGATTTTTAAGATTTATCTTAAAGAAATTTATTTTCTAATATAAATATAATATATTCTCACGAATAAAAGATTTTAATTATTAGTTTTATTAATAATAATTTAATTTTGATTAATTTTAAGTTCTTAATTTTTTTTTTTTGTTTTTAAATAAATATAATATAAAAAATAGTTAAATATCAAACATTACTATATTTGAATTAGAAATAAATAATTATTAAAAAATATTTAATGGAAGAAATACTATAAAAAAAATGGTTTTTTCAAATATTGGATAATATATTTGTTTAGTATTTTTTTTTTTTTTTAAAAAAAAAAATTATTAAATAAAAATTAATATATAGTTGACAAATGGTTTAAATGGTGAAAATAAATTATATTTAATAGATTTGTAAAAGGTTAATAATATAAAATCATAATTTTAAACTGGTTAAAAATATTAAATATTTAAAATTACATAATATTAATATAGAAATATATTAAATAAATGATGTTAAGAATAAATTAAAATAAAAAATGGTAAAAGACATTTAATTTTATGAAATTACAGAAAATTAATAAATATAATCTTTGTAAATAAGTATATATATATATATATATATATTGTAATTTTATTAAAAATAATTTTAAAAGGAAATTTATTATTTTATTAGACGGTGGATAAATAATTATCATGGATACAAATATTGAATCTAAAAATAGTATTTATAATTTATTTATCCAATTTATTTCTAAAATTGGATTCGGATTAATTTGTTCGACAGGAATTGCTTTTGCAATTTTAATCGCTTAATTTATTATAAGTAATATTGATGATAATTTTTATGAATGAAATTATGTTTTTTTTAAAAAAATATAAATAAATATATTTTATATTTAAAAATGTTTTATGTAAAATTTTATTTTAAATTTATTAAAAAAAAAAAAAAATTAATTATTTTAAAATATATATAAAAAATAAAATAATGTTATATGAATTTAAAAATGTTTTTTTTAAATCTAAAAATATGATAAATAAATATTATTAAACTTAATAAATAAAATTCTTTAATAAAAATTTATCTTTTCAAAGTTTAAGTTATTAAACTTATTTGTTTCTAAATAATCTTTAGAAATATATATATATATATATATATATATATATATATATATATATATATATTTATTTATATATTAGAATATAAATAAATATATTTTTTTATAAAAAATTTTATTTTAATATTTTTACTTATTTACTGATTCATCACTACTTATAATATTTAATATATTAGAAAAATTTTCTTAATTTTCCTTAAATTATAATTTTTTTAATAAAAATATAAACTAAAATTATAAAATATTAATTACTAATTTTTATGTTTTTTAGGCTATAATAGTGTCTACAAAAAGTAAAGGTTACTAATAAAGTCTTAAAACTTCACCTACTTTATTTAGATCTTAAGCTCCAGTATATATGGAATAATTTCCATATAACAAGGAATGTAAAACACCTTAAATATATATTGAAATAAATTTAAATATAATAAAAATATAATATATATAAAAATATATCTTTTTATTTTCAATATTTATTCATATATATTATATAAAATATATATATTATATTTATATATATTATATTTATATTTATATATATATATATATATTGTATTAATATAAAATTAGTATTACCTACTGAAAAAGCTTATACATTTCTAGCATCACCTGTTATAAAAACTTCAGTTTTTTTCGCTTAAATTTGATTCTTTGTTTGCTCCTTCAGATTGCGAAATAAGTTCTTTTAAATTATATGATTTATTATTTGATAAGAATAGAGTAGCATTTAGATCTACTTTTGGCAATGATAAAGTATTGAAATTTTTGCTTGCGTAGACTAATAATTACTTTTTTTTTATTTATACAATATTTATTATTATTTTTAATTTTTTTTATAAAAAATTATTTTAATTATTTTTTTTTGTTATTAAAGTTAATCATTTTTTTTAAAATTATTACTCTATATTTAAAAGTTCCTTAAAATGTATAAAATCCTGTATGGAAGACATGTCTTAATTAAGAAAATCTACTTTTTAAAGCACCTCCATTACTGGCTATAATTTTTTCAATAATTTATTTTAAAAATAAAAATAAATACTTCTTTATAATTCAGGTATTACTGAATTAATAATATCAATATATTTTTTATCTTATTATCCTTTACTATTAGGACTTAATAAAATACCATTTGCATTCGATTCATTAATTGCACTTTCTAATTCTTATTCATTTTGGGCATATAATGGAATCAAAACTACTCCTGTTTTAGCTGCTCCTAATTATGCACAAACTATTTCACTTGTATGATTTTTTTCAACCCATAAAAGTAATTTATCACCTATATTTAATTTTTTTTATTATTTATTATATATTTTTTTTATATACCTTATTTCCATCCAAGTTCAGTTAAACCATATGCAAAAGCATTTGAATGAGTCTTTTTTTTATTTATCTATATAAAATTTTTGGTTTATAATTACTTCGATTTCTTAATATGTCCATGTTTTATTTTGATTTTCAAATCTTACTGCATTTTTATTTTTATTGACTAATAGTTATCTTTATAAAGGGGATTCAGAAATAGATGAAAAATTGAATTTGTTTAATCTTTAAAATAATTTCATTTTTTTAGTTTTGTTTTGTATATATAAATTATGAAATTTTTCTTATTTTTATAAAAAAAAAATCTTGTAAAAATATATATATATATATATATATATATATATATATATTTTTCTTATTTTTAAATATTGATTATTTTATATAAATACATTTATAAATATTTTATTGTTTTTTATTTTATCAATTTTTATGTTTAAATAAAATTTTGATAAATTTATTTATTTTAACAAAAAAAAAAAATAATAATAAAAAAAAAAAAATATTTTCAAAATCTAAGAAGCAAGCTTAATTTATATAAAATTAATATAAAAATTATTAAAAAAAGAAGGGTAGAAAATAATAAATATTTTAATATAAAATAAGATAGAAAATTATATTTAATTTTATATTTTTTATAATAATTAATAATAAAAAAATAAAAATGGATTAATTATAATTACCTCATGCAAAATTATTTTATTATAGTGCAGAATTCTATAAAAAAGGAACGATTTCTGAAAATGAAAAGATTAAATTAAAAGGTAACTAAAAAAAATAACATTAACTATCATTTTTTTTAATAATTAATAATAAAAAATTAAAAGAAATGGTAATTTATAATGAACCTGAAATTTTCGAAATCCTTGAAAGATTTTAAAATCAAGGAAATTAAAGCGATTTTTAAAATGAGATATTAAATTTATTAAGAAAGAATTAAAAAAATTAATACTAAACATAAAATTAAAAAAGTAAATAAAAATTTAATTTTTATATAAAATAAATAAGACGAGAAATAGTAAATTGAATAACCAAAGATAAATGAATAAAATTAATAATAATAATTAGTAGAATAAATAGAAAATTAATATTTATCTGATACTTAAGACATTCCTATTTTATAGATTTAGATTGAAAAATAAAATTCTAGTTTAGAAATAATTTATAATAATAATATTTTAGATGATGATAAAAAATCATATGAAGTAATAAAATAATATATTACTAATACTCCTAATATTCCAGATGAAGTAAAAAAAAATTAAAAATAATTATAACTATTTTTTGATTTTTTTTTTTAATTTATATAGATTTCATCTCCTTTAGGATAAAAATTAATGAAGATTAAAAAAAAAAAAAAGAAAACATATTTTAGAGATTATTTAAATCCTTTTAGTACTGACGCAAAATATTGATATAATTTTGGATATTATTTATAATTAATATAAAAATAAAAATATTTATAATTATTATTTTTAATTATATATATTAATATATTTATAAAAGTAAAGGTGTAATTAATATATGTTATTTGTAAAATAAATTATAAAATAAAATTATAAATTTTTATATTAATTTAATACTAAATGTTAATAAAAAATACATAAATAAAAAAAATAAAGAAATATATAATATAAAAAGTACAATAAGTTGAAAAAAATAAAAAATATATAATAGATAATTATAAATTAAAATATTTTAAAAAATTAAAAATTAATTTTTAAATTATTTAGTTAAATATATAACTATATTATATATATATATATATATAATATATATTTATATTTATATAATATAAATTATTTAATATAATTTTTATTTTGTTTAAATATTCATTTCAATAATTTTTCTATATCCATATATTTTTTATCCGAGTCCGTAATAAATGAATTTTATTATTTTAAATTTTTTTTATTATTATGAATTTCAATTTTCAATATTGAATCACTTACTTTAATTTCAGTTCCGTCTTCAATTTCTTTTGGTTCACTTTCTTATTTTCCTTAACTTTTTTCTCTGTAATCACTTAAGGAAACCCATGTTCCGTTAGCGCTTTCTTTTTAAAAATCACCATCTCTTATTTACCATTTATTATCTCTTTATAATGATATTTAATAAAAACATATAAATATTTTTTTTTATATATATTTTTAATACTAATAAATGATTCTGGATTATTTTCTCGAAATAGTATTTACATTAATTTATATAGCACACTCCTAAGATCTTCCAATTTTGAATTCTTACTATATATTTTATTCATTTAAGACAAAGATATGAGGATTTCCATTTTAACTAATTTTAACCTTTACAAAAGGCCTTAAATTCATTTTGTATTCAAGACCTAATGTGTCTTAATTATTATTATTTTCTTAATTTAATTAATTATAAAGTACTTCGAATTATTAGAACTCTTCATTACTAAGACCGTGTATTATTGTATTATTTTCTTTTTTTTCTGTAAGTAAAAAATTAATGAAGTCTTCTTAATGATTACTATCTTTTCCTCTATTATTATGATTTACGTCTATTATGTAAAATTGCCTGTCTGCACCAATAAGAAATGCTTGTCCTTTTTCTAAAATTTGAGATTTTTCGTATTTTATCTTTACATAAGTTCCCATAGCACTTCCTATGTCTACAATGTAAAAAGCGTACTTATTTCTGCAAAAATCCCATATTTCTTTTATTATGAAATCAGGAAGGTTGCATTAATAGTGTTTTAAGGCTTTTAAAAAAATGCAGAATTAATACGAGAAAGGCTTTGGTATTCTAAAACCGTCTTTTGTTATTATTTTACAATGGATTCTTGAAATTGATCTATCTGAAGGTGGTAATACAATGTCGTTTGGGAAAATTTCTTGTTGTTCTAGCTCTTTTATTGTTTCTTGGCGGCCTATAACTATATCCTCGCAGGTCGTATTTTTTTTGGAGTTGATCATCCCTTAAGGTGTTATAAAATAAATTTAGTTTATACTATTTAACTCTTCTTAATTAGTTTTCATTACTTAGATTTTTATATAGGGTTTGGTCAAGTCAAGCTTTTCAGGAGGATTATTTTAACGGATTTTATAGTATTTGTTTCGGATGTCTTAATTCAGATTTTGCTTTAAATTTATATAGGTGGTATTGTTATTTTATAAATATTAATTTAAAATTAAGTTTTCTGGATAGTTATATATAAAATTATTAGTTGATTAAGGATTTTAATCGTTTAAAGTATTATAAAAAGGTATTTATTAAGGAATCATTTATTAGAAAAATTAAAATGGTTGTTAGTTTAAAGAATTTAAATGAAATTAATTAAATAAATGTTATTATTATTAAATTTAAAGCTACTAGTTCTATTCATATAATTAAAAGAATTATTATTATTAATCTTAAAATAAATATTATTATTGTTAGTTTTATTATTATTATTATATTTATTGAATATTTTATATATTATTATATATGTTTTATATATATATTTAATTTTATTAATCATTTATGTTTATTTCTTCTAATTATTAAGCATTTTCTATTATGTTTTCCATATTTAATTATTAGTTCTATTAAAAGTCTATTTCGTTTTTTTTTTCAAGGTTTTGTTTATGGAGTATTTTTTAGAAATCATTTTTTTGTTCATTTTATTCGATTTTTTCGGATTCTTAGTTATTTTCTTTTATGTTCTTTTTTTTTTATTTATTTATTTATGTGTTTATATATATATTTTTTAAAGTTACATTTATTTCTTATAAATTATTTTATATTTATTGCATTGTTAAGCTTTATATGTTATCTTGTTAGTTTTATTTATATTTAATTTATTTTTATTCTTCAATTTAATTATCATCTTCATTATTTAAATGTTATTATATATTAGTATTTTTCATATTTATTTATTTTGCTATATTATAATTTAATCTAATTATATGAAAAAATAATTATATTTTTTTTTTTATTTTCTTTTTAATTTAAATTTTTTTTTTTTTTAATAATTATTTGATTTTATTTTGATTATTTTTTTTTTTTAAAAAAAAAAAAAATAATAATAATAATAAATTTTTTTATTTTTTTTTTATTTTTTTATACAAATAAATTACTAATTTCATCTTTTATATATAAAAATAATATTTCATTTTTTTAAAAAATAAAAAAAAAACATAAAATTTAAAAATTTCGATTTTTTTTTTTTTTTTATATTTAAAAAAAAAAAAATTAATAAAAGAAAAAAATTCAACTTATAAGTTGGGAAATTGCATAACAAAATTTATCGTCTTTCATATAATTCCATTTAAATTTAGGATTATATATAGGCTTTAATTATTATTTATATTAATTTTATAATTATTAAAATTTCTATATATTCTTCTAATTTACTAACTATAAAGGTAAAAGATTTCTTTCAGTATTATAAAAGCAGGAATATAGAGAATATTTATTCAAAAAATTTTAATCATTCTCAAATTATTTAAAATTTGTTTTATAATCAAAAGAATTATTTTCTTAAAAAAAATAATTTAAAATACTATATAAATGACCATTACCTATAAACATAACAAATTATTACTCATTTATATTATCTTTCATAAATTTCAATGTTTGTTAAGCTATATACATTTCTCTAATGTGAAAATCATAATCAGTAATTCCACAAGCATTTATAATATCATAAGGTTATTCTTTTTATGGATTTTAGGAACAATCTAAACAACCACTACTATTTATTTTTATTACCCAGTCAATTTATTCATTTAAATATATATTTCTATTAAATAAATAAATATATAAATCTATCTATAAAATTATTTAAAATACTTTAATAATTCAAATTATTTTTATATATCTTCGTCCGATTTTTAAGTTATAATATGATAAATTTCATCTTCTATAGTCAAATCAGATAGTAAAATTTATATTTTATCATTATTTTAGAATAATTGATTATATATAAATGTTACTGATTCATTTGGTTTAAATACTCCATCAGTTTTTTGATATATCTATTAAAATAAAGATATATATACATATAAAATATTTATATATAATTTATTTATATAAAATATATTTATATAATATCTTTTTATTATAATATATTTATATAATATTTTTTTTTATTTATTTATTTTATATCTTTATATATATATATATACATACTATTCTTTCTGATTCATTAATTTTAAATTAATTATTTGGATTTTTAATATATTATTTATAAAATTATTTTAAATAATCAGAAGTTATTAAATCTTCTCTTTATGCTATATTAAAAATTTTATTTTGTAATTTTATTGGAGGATGTTCGATTATAAATAAATTTTAGTTTTTATTTTTTTCTTGGAATTCTTTCATTATCATTACTGATTTATATGTATAATGATCTAATCCATATATTATTAGGTTTTATTACTATTCTTTAAAATACAAATTTACTAAGTCGTTACTTTTACTAAATGTTACATTTATGTTCTTTGGAATTTAAATGTTTTTATAACTTATTAAATTATGGGTATGGTATTAATTCGGATATTTTGTCCTAAATTTATTATATTATGCTTAACTTTCTAAATATTAAATAGCTCGGAAGTTAATTCCTTTATTTTTAAATTCAGCAAATGTTCTTTCTAGTTCTTTGAAATCAAACAAATAAAAAAAATTGAAAATATAATCTTCAACATTTTTTAATACTTAAGTATTATCACAATATTAAACTAATTATTTCGCGATATAAGGATTGGCTTCTTATACAAATTATAAATTTATTGATCCTATATTTTTTTATATATTTTTATTAAATCTAATATATTTTACTTAATAATTCCTTTGTTAGTTATTCATTTTAAATTGATAAATTATTCATGTTTATAAAAGTTTATAAGTTTGTATGTATACTTGAATATTTACATGTTTTTAGATATTATTCTATATTTTATTCAAATACATATTTATAAAATGTTAATAGTTTTTTTTTTTAAACACATGAAGTTAGTTTTTACATTAATTTTGATAAAAGATAAATATATGTATATATACAAATATATATGAATATATATAAAAGTAAATAATAATATAAATATATATATATAAATATATATATAAAAAAAATTATTTATAAATATAATTATATATATTTTTTATTATTAATTTGTTTTTTTTTGTTTTGTGCTTTTATTTTTTTGTTCTTTTTTTAGCAAAATAAAATTATTAAATATTTAATATTATTAAAATAAATATTATAAATTTTAATATTGTAATGATTTTTTTATTTTTTCATATTATTTCTTCATACTTTAATTTGGCAAATTCATTTAATCTTAATTTGTTTCTATTAAAAATTCGGACATCATCATATTTATTTGCTTCATTTAAATAACATATTAAGTATTCTAATTCTTAATCTTACTTATCTTCAACCCATTCAAGTATTGGTATTCCATTTTCTATTTAAAAACCAAAAGAATGTGATAAATTATCAACTAAAACTGTATTTTTTAATTAAATGTTTTTCAAAATTCTCAAATCTTTTATAAAAAATCCGTTTTTAGTTTCCATACAATTCTATCTACTTAAAATTCCCTAAATATTTTCTTTATTCGGATCTAAAAATTAAGCCACAGCTTAAGCATATGCATATGATGAAGCTGTGAAAATAAAAATATTCCAATCTTTTGATAAAGTTTAAATAAATTTGAAACAAAAAGGTCTAACTCTTATTCCTATCATTTGTATATTATTTCAAAGCTTACGTTTATTATGTAATCTGGTTTATCGTTACATTGCATGTATGTATTAAAGTCTCATCTAAATCCAATAGAAGGTATTTTTCATTTGTTTGAATATTTGGTATTCCTTTAATTATTTAAATATTATATATTCTTTAATTAATTTTTATTTTATTTTATTTTATGTTATTTTTTTATAAAAAAAAAAAAAAAAAAAAGTATATTAAAAACTAAAATAAAATAATTTAAATTTTTTATTTTATAATTTATAATATATAAAATTTTATAATTTATTTTTTATTTTTTACTTTTAATCATTTGCAAATCAACTTATTTGCTTAAAATAAACTTATCGCTGGGATTTTTTAGAAAATTTAATGAATAAACAAGCCCTTTGTAAGTTTAAATAAGATGCTTTTTGAATCTACCTATTAAATATATATTTATAATTATTATATAAATAAATATATAATATATATATATATTATATATATATATTATATAATTTTAATTTTTTTTTTAATTATTTATATATTTGTAATTATTAGTATTTATAAATTTTATTAATTTTTCTATATAATACACATATATTTTTTTTAATAATTTCTTTTTATTTATATTTATATTTATAATTTTTTACTTTCATTTATATTATTAGAAAATATCAAATGTCTGAATTAATGTTAACTTAAAGAATTTACTTAAGTTTGTATATTAGTTTAATAAAATATTTAATTTTATATGTTTTATGTTTTCGATTTATTAATCTTATTTATTTGTTTCTTTTACTTTTCTTTATCATGATTAATTATATTTTAAAATGATTTATTATTATTATATTTATGAGCTATGAATCGCATATTTTAATTATTATGTGTAAATTATAGATTTCCAGTTATATTGTTATCTTATTATATATATATATTTTCTTCTTAAAATAAAAAGTTATTAATCATTCTTATGTAAATATTATTTTATAATTAAATACAATATTATAAATTTAATTTTTATTTTTATAATTATAATTATAAAAAATTATTATATTTTTATATTTTCATTAAATTTATTTATTATTAAATTTACAAACAAATTTTAACCCTAAAAATTAAAAAATTTAAAATATTTTATAACATGAATTTATAAAATATAAAAATAAATAATATTTATATATAAAATGTAGATATTATATAATAATATATTTTATAAATATAAATATTATTATATATATATATATATACTTATAAATATTTATTTATCTATATATATTTATAAATAAATCTATAAATTTAAAGCTTTATTTTATGACATTTTTTTTTTTATATTTATTAATATTTTAAAAATATTTTATTTTATTTAAATCTTAAATAAAAAAAAATGAAATAAATGTATTAAAAAGATAATTATTTTTATAATAGATTTCAAAATGAATATGTTTTATAACTTTATAAAAAACGATAATTATTATATAATTAGATTTATATATTATTAAAATTAAATTAATAAAATAATTAGTATATATTAATTATAATTAATTATTAAATATTTATATATTTATATATTTATATAAATATTTAAATATATTTATATATACATATAAAAATTGTAATTTTTTAAGAAATATTTTTTAGTTTAAAAAATTATATATATATAAATATTATAAATTTATATATATTTATATTTTATATATTAAATATTAAATATTTATATTTTATTAATTTGTTCTATTATTATATAATTATATTTTTTTTAAAAAATTATGACAAAATTTATTATTACATATTATTTTTAAATATTAAATTAATACATATATATATATATTTAAATATATACATTTATAATAATTATTTTATATTTATATTTAAATAAAAATATTTTTAATAATTATTTTTTTATATATATATTTATATATACTTTCATTATATTTTTTTAATATATTATGTTTTTTTAATTTTAATAATTTATTTATTATATTTTTCAATTATTTTTTTTTTATTTAATATAAATAATTTTAATTTTAACATATTATAAAAATGAAAATATTTTTGTTAATAAATAATTTCATTTATAAAAAAAAAAAAAATCAAAATAAAAATAAAATTTATTTATTAAATAAAAAAAAAAAAAAAAAAAATCAATTTTAACTAAGATTAAAAAAATTTTTTTATATTTAAAATAATACTAGAGAAAAATAAAATAAAAATATATAAAAAAAATAATCAAAACAAAACAAAATATAATACAAAAAAATAAAAAAAAAATGGTTTCTTTAAAACTCCAAAAAAGATTATCAGCAGCAGTTTTGAAATGCGGTTAAAAAAGACTTTGGTTAGATCCAAACGAATCTTCTGAAATTTCAATGGCAAATTCCAGAGCAAGCATTAGAAAACTTATAAAAGACGGTTTAGTTATGAAGAGATCAACAGTAATTCATTCTAGATCAAGAGCAAGAAGACACTTAGAAGCCAAAAGAAAAGGTTTTTTTTTTTATTTAAAAAAATAATAATAATAATAATAATATTAATTTTTATTTTTTTTATAGGAAGACATACTGGACATGGTAAAAGAAAAGGTTCAAGAAATGCAAGAATGCCTACTAAAGTACTTTGGATTAGAAGATAGAGAGTTTTGAGAAGACTTTTAAGAAAATATAGAGCAGCTAAAAAAATTGATAAGCAATAGTAAAAATAAACAAAAAAACTAAAAAATTAAATATTTTTTAAATAAATATTTATAAACTTAATTAATAAAAAAAAAAAAAGATATCATGAATTTTATTTAGGATCTAAAGGTAACTTGTATAAAAATAAGACTGTACTTATTGAAGCTATACATGTTTCAAAAGCTAATAAGATTAAATCTGATAAATTAGCTGCTTAATAAGACGCAAGAAGAGTTAAAAATGCAGCCACTAGAGCAAAAAGAAATCTTAAAGCATAAATTGTTCCTAAGATGGATGTTTGAAAGAGAATTATTTTTTAATATATGCAATTTATTTTTCATTTTATTATTTAAATATTAAATAATAAACTATGTTTGTATATTTATCTTTTATTTAAATATATTTCATAAAATATTTTTTTATTTTATATATATAAATATTTATAATTATTAGAAAATGTAATTAAAAAATATTATATATTTAATTAGAATATATAGATAATATCTATATAATATATTAGACATTTTTATAAATTTAATATATATTACTATGATTTTATAATGAATATTAAAATTTCATATTTCCCATGATATCCAATCAAAAGGATCACCAATAAAATTTCCTTCTTTGTATATATATTATGTACAATACTATAATATAATAAATAAATAAATAAATAAATAAATAAATATATATATATATATATATATATATTTATATTTATATTTATATTTATATTTGTTTTATTTAATTTTAAACCATTAAATTTCTATATTAATCTTCTATCTAATTCGTTTATTCTTATATTTTTATTTTTAAAATTTTTTTATCTTCTATTAATTTTTCTTATTTATTATATTCTAAATCATATTAATCTTCTTTTCTTCTTTCAGAATCATCTAATAGTTAAAATCCTGCTTCCATTTGATTTCTATATTAATAATAAGCGGACCACCAAATATATTGATTAGGTGGATTATAGTTTTCATCAGAATGAATGTTTTTCCAAACATAAGGTGATGGTGATTTCAAAATTTCTAAAACAATAGTTCCCATTTCTGTTTAGTGCCATTTTGAATAATATTAATTCATAAATTTATACGTTTTAATATTTAATTTAAATTTAATTGGATTATCACCAGTAAAAGCAATTGCTTCTATATATAATTCAGGTAATGTTATTGTTATATTTAATCTATGTACTTCTGAATATCCTAATTAAATTTTATTAAAAAAAATTAAATTAAAAATAATATAAATAAAAGATATTATTATATAAATATATATATATATCGAAATATATATATATATATTATATATATATATATATATTTATATATATATATAATTTATTTATGATTTATAAAATTTTAAATATAAATATATATTTAATTATACCTGGCATATCTAATCTTGTTGAAAATTTAATTTTCATTAATATATGTGTCATATTTTATGCCCATTAATAACATGGTTATATTCTTTTTTTTATATATATTTTTTTTTTTTATTTAAAACTCTATCATCTATGTTGAATTTTCAGGTAATAAATTTGTTAGATTTGAAAATATTTTTAAGTTTTCTATTTTTAATTATTTTCTTGTTTGTATAAAAGTTTCATATAAATCAATATTTTTTTTATTGAAGTAGTTTATTATCATATGGGAAGATGCATTATACCAACCATTTAATATAGAATATTATAGGCATCTTTTTTATATTTTAATAATTTAAGAATTTTTTTAAAGAAAAATACTTTAAGCCTATGATTTCATCTTTGTTTATAAATTCTGATATAAGAATTAATGCATCATTTTATGTTTTAATTTGTTTTAATTTATCTAAATTTTAATAATCAAGTTAATGTTATAAATATAGTTTAAGAAAAGACAAATAAATAAAAAAATAAAAAACAAAAAACATTTTGTATTAAATAAATGAAATATATTTTTTCTTTTTAAATAGAATTTAATAAAAAATATAAATATCTTATAATATATATTTAAATAAAAAATAAATATTAAATATATTTTTATAAAAATAAATATAATATTTAATTATAATTATTATTTTTATTGATATTATTTTTATAATTATCAATTCTTCAATAGTTAATATTTTATAATATATTCTATTCATAATTTAATTTATTATGTTTTTTTAAATTTTTTATACTTTATACATATATAATAGGAAAAATATATTTAAATTGTAATTTACAAATCTATAATTTTTATATACATTTATATATTATAATTTAATTTATATTTTTATAAATAGATTTTTTCATTTTTTATAAATATATATTGTTTTTTTTTTATTTTCAGTTTAAAATATAATATATAAATATATGGGAGAAAATTATGGTTAAGGAACTATATAAAGAACTTTAAAAGATGATGGAGACGATTTTCTAAATACAGCTTTAAGAAAATGGAAATTTAATTCAAAATATAATAGAAACTTGAAATTATTTAGTGCTTTATGTAAAAATTAAACATTTTTCTTTTTAAATAAAATTAATAAAATATGAATTAGTTTTATTCTTCTTAACTTTTGGTATTATATTTATTGTTTACTACTTTAAAATAGTTGAATATAAAAAAAGATATGACGATTATTGTTAATTAAACGATTAAACGTGTAAATTCTAATTAAAAATAGATTAAAATATGGAATAACCTATATTTTTTTATTATGAGATTGATAATTTTTACCAAACTCACAGGAAATTTTATTAATCAAAAGTATAATAATAATAAAAGAAAACCATCCATATATATTTATTTAAAAGGATGTACTATAATTAAGGGGAGAAGTTAGATCTATAAGTCAACTTTCTGATTGTGAACCATATGTAACTAATAAATAAATGGGAAAAAAAACAAGCATTACAGGAAAAGAACTAATTCAAGACGAAGCAGCAAATCCTTGCGGGCTAATTGCTAAAACATATTTTAATGGTATTTTTATTTAATATACGTGTATAAATATGTATATATATATATATATAATTATACAAAAAGATACTTATAAATTATATAAAATTGTTGACGGGTAAAAAAATCCACTTAAAATTGATATAGACGAAAACGATATTGCATGGGATGTTGATAAAAATTATAATTATAAATTAAATACTAATTAGGATTCTATGTGGTTAAATGTTACAAATGGTTTTTATTAATATATATATATATATATATATATATATATATATATATATATATATATATATATATATATAAATTAAAAGAGCATTTTATGGTATGGATGAGAACTTCTGGTATGGGAAGATTTAAAAAACTTTGGGGAAGGATTAAATAAAATTTAGAAGTAGGAGATTATATTATTGAAGTTTAAAATAGTAAATATATTGTTATTTTTATATAATTTTTAAAATAAAATATTTAGATTATGATGTAAAAGTATTCAATGGATAAAAATCATTTATAATGACTACAACAAGTGCTTTTGGATAAAAAAATCCTGTTTTAATCGTAGCTTATTTTTCAGGGGCATTCGTTTGTTTAGTTTCACTTATTGTATTAATAATTTTAAATAGAAAAAGCAAAAATAAATGAAATAAATACATATATAAATATTTAATATATATTTTATATATATAAAAATAAAATTTAATAGTATTATTTTATAAAATTATTAATTATAAATATAAAAAATAAAAAAAATAAAAAAATACATTTAATTAATGATGATAAATGATTAAATTAATTGTAAAGTTTTAATAATAGGAAGAGAGGGAACAGGAAAGAGTTTATTATTATTAAGATATGTTGAAAAAGAAGGTTCTTATATAAAAACATAAACTACAAGTATATAAATAAATAAATTTTTTAATTTCATATAAATATTTAAATATTTTATATATATATATTTATATATATATATATATATATATTTATAATTATATATTTATATATGTTAGTTGTTTTAAATATTAGTAGGTGTTGATTATAAATAAAAAATTGTTGAAATTAATAACAAAAAAATAAAATTATATATTTGGGATACTGCAGGTTAAGAAAAATATAGGCCATTAGTATATTCTTATTTTTAAAATACTTAGGCTGCTATTTTAGTATTTGATTTAACTGATAAATAATCATTAATTGACATATAGTATTGGTTATGTTAATTATAATTATAATGTAATTATAATATTTTTAAGATTTTAGTAGGAAATAAATGTGATTTAGAATATGAAGAACCTGATGAGAACATCTTAAATGAATATTAGAAGAAATATAATATGTAGTTTATCAAATGTAGTGCACTCGAAAAAATAAATGTCGATTTAATTTTTTAAAAAATTGCATATAATTTGTATGAATAATATAGAGATAAAAACTTTGAATAAAACTATAATATTTAAAATAGTTTAAAATTATAAAAAAAGAAAAAAAATAAAACGAAAAAATGTTGTTGATATTATTTAAAAATTTTATATTAAATAAAATAAAAAAAATAAAAAAAATTTTTAAATATATATATAATATATATATATATATATATTTATAAATTTAAAACATTTATTATAATTTTTTAAAATTATAAATTTCATAATTAAATAATATCTTTAAAATCTTAATTTCCTTTATTTGATTTATAATTATATTCATTTTCTATTTTTTATTATTCCTATTAATTTATCATATCACTTTCTATTCTATTGCTTGAATTATAATTTTTCATTTTATTTTCAGTTAAAAGTTCTTTTTTAATAACTCCTCCTTTTTTTACAGTATATACATAATTTGAGGAAGGAGTACTTCCTGTAGCTGTTACTCTTCTAGGTAATTCTCTTAATTCCAACGTTTTTGGTGTATAAGTGAATGTTATGTTAGGTGTATTAGAATAAATATGTTATTTGTTATTTATTTTATTAGTGATAATGTTTTTATTATTATTTAAATTTTTATTTTATTTATTTAAATATTACTCTTATTTATTTTCAATTGAATCGTTTTTTAAATTAATTTTAAATTAGTTTTTATTTACTTCGATTAATTTATTTCTGATAACTTTTTTTATATTTTATTTAATATTTTTTATTTGTTTTTACTTTATATTTTATCGAAAATTCTTTATTCATCAAAATTATTTTGTATACAATTTTAACAAATATTAGATTTGTTTTAAAATATTGGTAGATTTTTGTCATTTTGAGAATTATTTTATAGATTGCTTATTATTAAAATTTGTTAAAGTAATTATTTAGCAAGTTATTATAAAAGCCCGGAATAGTTATTTATTAATTATTAAATTTCTTCTAAAGTAAATTCAGAAATATTTGGAGCTTATACAGTTAAAAACGATTATAAATAGTCCATATATTCAGTTTCTTACATTTTTAATTTGTTATAAATAGAGTGAAAAATTAAATTTATTTTTTTAAATTTATTTAATATATATATATATATATATATATTTATAATTTTATTTTTATTTTATTAATTAAATATAATATTATAATTTTATATAATCCATATTGTTTAAACTAATTTCATATTTATAATTTAAATTATATTTTTTTTCTCTTTTTATTATGTTTAATTACTCTATAATTTTTTTAACACAGCTATATATTTTTTTAAAAAATTTCTTATATAATTATATAAATTTTCTTTTATTATTTTTTTATTATAAATTTTTTTATTTTATTAAAGTTAACAATATCAATTTATTTAATTTATATCTATATTTTTGTTATGTTTTTCTATTAATATAATTACTTTTAAATATTTAAAATAAATATTCTTTTTTATTATTTAAAAATTTTAATTTTTTTTTAATACATTTTTTTTTATAGTTTTATATATTTTTAGATTTTTTTTTTTGTTGCAAATAAATAAATATAAATATATTTTATATAGATTTAATTTTTTTATTTTAATATTTTTGTAATAAATATTATTTATTAATAAATATAATGATTTCTTTTTTATTTTAAAAAAACTTTATAACAATATCTTTTAGTATTTATATATAATTTGAATTGATTTTATTTAAAAAAATTTAGATAATTAAATAATTATTAGTAAAAAAAATTTATAAATATATTTTTTAAATATATAATTAATATATATTTAATTATTATAATTATTAAATATATATATTTATAAAATATACTATAGTGTGTTTATATTATTTTTTAAAATTTAAATCATATACATTTTTTTTTAATTTATATATATTATATTAATTAAAAAAAATTAAATTATTTTATAAATAAATTTAATCTAAAATAAAAATACTAAGAAAACAATTTTTATATATAGAAATTTTCTAATATTATATTTATAAAACTAATAAAAAATAAATTAAAAAAAAAAATCTCAATTTATATTTTATAAATCATTCATTTATTACTTATTTCAAAGATTTGTTGTAGATATAATTCCTTCTGGATTATAAGTAAATCCTTCTTAAGGATTATAAGTGAATCCTTCAAATCCAGGCATTTATTAATTACTGGGAGTTTCAAATATAGGTTTTGGTCTTTAAAGTTTATCATCTTTAATTTTTTTATTCATAAATTATTTTAGTGGGCTTTCATATTCCCTTTTATAAAGTCTTTACCAGTCTATATTACCAAAAAAAGGGTGTTGTTTTATAACTGGCCAATTAGGTCTTTTTTCTGGATCGTTATTTAAACAGGCTTTAATTAAATTTTAAGAATCTTCAGTAAAATCATTTGTAAAATTAGGATTATTAGTTAGTATTTATTTCATAATAGAATACCAATTCCTCTATCTATCTCTAAAAGGGGGTTAGCCGTATATTATTTCATATAAAAAAACGCCAAAAGCCCAAACATCAGCTGAAATTTTATAACCTAATTTATCGCTTTATTATTTACTTCGTATAATCTCAGGAGCTATATATTCAGGAGTACCAATAAATGTATAACATAGTTCGTCTTAAATCTATATTTATTTACTTAAACCGAAATCAGCTATTTTTAGATGACCGTCATCGCTAACTAAAACATTTTCAGGTTTTAAATCCCTATAAATTATTTTCATTGTATTATTTAAATATTCCATTCCTAAATATAAAAAAATAAATATAAAATATATAAAAACATAAATATATAAAAAAATTTAAATAAATAAATTAAAAAAAAATAAAAGTAATAGTTATAAATAAATATATATATATATATATATATATATATATTATATATATATATTTATTATGTATAAATAATATATATATATATCTATTTATATATTTAAATGTATATTTAAATATATATATATATTTTTATTATTACCTAAAACTACTTCTGCTGCTACAAATTTCGCTAATTCAATAGAGAATTTTTTATTTTTTGCTAAATAATAATACAATTCACCTCCTGGACAATATTCCATGACTAAATAAAGTTTACTATGTGATTAAAAAGAATATCTTAATCTTACTAAAAATGGATTTTTATTTTTTAATAATACGTTTTTTTCCACAATCATCTTTCTCTTTAAATTTCTTTCTATTATTTTGTCTTTTTTAACTATTTTCATTGCAAATATCTTATTGCTTGATTTTTTCTTTACTAAAAGAACCTAACCATATGCTCCATCACCTAAAAATTCTATCTTTTCAAAATCATTGTATGATAGTTGTTTATTTGGATCTAATCCGTTATTCAAAGATAAAGGTGAACTAAAATCTTGCTAATTAATTGTAGATTTTTAGTCTGATTTTAAATCTTTTTCTTGCGCATTTTAGATATCGTTTTAATTTTATTATTATTGATTATTATTACATATTGTATTGCATATTTAACCCATATTTTTTTAATTTTATTTTATATTATTATAATTTTTATATTTAAAAACTTTTTTTTATTTTAGAAATTATTTTTTTTAATTTTTTATTAAATTTTTATATATTAATTAATTTATATTTTTATTTATATATAAAAATATATGTAAATAAATAAAATATAAAAAAATGTAATATATATATTTATATATATATATATATATATATATATATATATATATATATTATTTTATTATTTATTTAAAAATAATAATAATAATTAATATCAATATAATGTTATTTTTATAATAATAAAATGAAATAGTAAATATAATAGGTTAATATATAAATTATAATTTTTTTATATTTTTAGAATAAGTAATTTTTTAAATAAATTTTAATTTTTTATGTATTTAAAATAGATATTTGATAAATGTTTATTTTATTTTTTTAAATTTATATAAAAATTTATAAAATATTTTTTATTTTTTTTTGTTTTATTTTATTTTATATTAATAGTTTTCAGATAAATATACATTTAATTTTTTTTTTTTTTAATGAATATTATTATTTCTATATATTTATTTTTAATTTTTTAAAAATTATTATATTTAAATTATATTAAAAAAACATATTAAATAATAAAATTTAAAAATATGAATAAATTTTTTAAAAATATAATTTATATAATAATAAAAAAATTATTATGAATCAATATAATAGTCCTGAATCATAGGCATTTTTATAAACTTCATAAAATTAAATAAGTAGTTTAACTAATTAATAAAAGAGTTTTATCAATTCTATTTTTGAGTTTTTATTTATAATATTAAAACATGATGAATTAAATATTTTAATAAATGCTATATTTTGTATAATTTAATATTTTTAAATATATTATTATGCATTTAATCCTTAAGTAAAAAAACTATATAATAATATATTTATATGTATAAATAAAAAGATTAATTACATATGGAATAATTCTATATCAAAAAATATGATTTAAATATTCGGATATGTTGGTGTTTTTCAAATATATAGAAGTTAAGATTGGAATGTATGCCTAATTATATTTTATTTCTCTTTTTCTGTTATTATTTTATATTTGCTTTGTTTTTTATATTGTATTGTTTCTTTAAATAAATAGAAAATATTCTCTAATATAATTACTAATTTTTTAGTTATTGTCTCTAATTTGATATTAAATATACTATATATGCCTTTTCTGGATGTTTTTTTAATTAATTTAAATTGTGAATAATCTAATTACGATAGTTCTTAATTAAATTTAGTTTTCTATAAAGAAATAAAATGTTTTTAAGTAAAAAAAAAATATATATATATATATATAAATAAATCATAATGTATATAGGGTATGCATATTTTTTATTTTACGGGAAGTATATTTTGCTTAATTTTATTATCTGTGATTATTCTTATTTTGGGATGTTTTTATTTTGATGGAATCTATAATGATAAAAAAGCGAATTCTAAAAGAAATAATAAAGGAATAATTTGGTTATTAATATATGAAACCATTTTAGTTTTATTAATGAATTTCTTTAATAAATAAGAATAAGTCAATATAAAAATAATTATTTATTTAATCGGAAGTATATTAGTGTTTTATAAAATACATATAAATAATTATTTTAATAATATTAAAATATTTAAAATATATTCTTTTCTATAATCTATTAATATATGGACAGCTATTATGTTAGCATTATCATATGTAAATAATATATACATATATATATATATATATATATATATAATATATATTTATATTATTTATTTTAGATTAGTGAAAATAGAATTTTTAATGGAAATATATATATTTGGATTAGTGGTGTTCCGTTTTTTTTTTTTTTTGTATTTTTTAATCCAATAGAATTCGAGAAATATCAAAAAGCAATAAATATAAACGTAAATAAATTTTAAGACGGAAAATAAGTAATAGAGCATATTATTTAAGTATTAAAATTAATTGAAAATGATTATAAAAAAAGTAAACATGGTTAATTATTAAATGGATATATAGAATTTCATAATTATACTTGTTTAGATTATTAATGTGCATTAAAAAAGATTAAATATAATAATAATAAAAAAAGAGAAGATAAATAACATTAATAGGATAAAAAATAATAATTAATATATGAAATGATATATAAAATTTTGGAATAAAATATATAGAAATTTCCTTAAAATATTGATTTAAGAATTTTTTTTGTGGTATTTTTAATGAAAATTACTAAAAACAAAAATTAGGCTTTAAATTAAATCTTAGAAACTGAAAATTATAAATTAGATTTTGATTAAAAATTTGTACTCTTTTATCTCAAAAAAAATATTCAAAACCAAATTTATGAAATTAATAATAATGAAGATGACTATGGAAACCTCAAAAATCAATAAATTGAAATATATAACTTTAAATTGGCAATGGAATAAACAGTCACTCTTTTAATGGAATTCTGGAGCCAGTTTTTAGATGAAAAACCAGAATTGTTTAAGCTATATGATATAGGAAGTAAACTTTTTCCATTAAAATAGGCAGTAGATGGCATGTAGAAAAAGATTATGAGAGGAAAAGACGCGTAGATACCTAGAGTATTGAGGTTATACTCAAAATATTTGATTGATATATTTAATGATAAGAGATAAGGACTTTAAGTGCTAGAGAAAGCGGGGAAAATCGAACAAACTTTGCTAAATTAGAAAGATATTACTGTAGGGTTTAATAATCAAAAAATTAATTTGGATGGAAAGGAAGATGCGGTAATTTATATGACTATGGAAGAGGAAAAAATGGGGGAAATTTTATATTCAAATTTAAGTTTAGTGGGTCTATTTGGATTTTAAAAAAGCGATTTTTTGGGAAAAAATGTGAGCTTTTTAATGCCTGTTTTATATGCGAATTTACATTAGGAAATCCTAAAATATTAAAGCGAAAATAAAGACCAAGAGAACTTTTTTCAAAGCAATAAGGAAAAAATATTAAATATATATGGAAAACATAAACAATAGTATATTTTTACAATAAATTTAAAAATTTAACCAATTTATAATCCCATCTAAGAAAATAATGAGTTTTTAGGCATTTTTAGGAAAGAAAAAATGGCTAAAAATATAGCCTTTTTAATATTTGATTAATTTTATATTATTAATGATATATCATCATGTATTATATAAATATATATATATAAATATATATATATATATATATATATATATACTTATTTTTATATATATTTTTTATATTTTTATATATTTTTATTTATTTATAGCCTGTATTAATATTTTAGGTATTGATAATAAGATTATTATTTAAAATTAAATACATATTGATAAAATTGTAATAATTCTTATATTTATTATTTACATATTTGCTATTTTTTTAGATATTTGATATAGAATCGAATATGAAAGAATATATGAGTAAATAAGGTAAATAGACTAGCTATACATTTCCTAAATTTTAAGATGACTTAATTTTATGGGGATAAAGTGAGAAATAGTCTATTTTAAATGTTTAGTTAAAGGAAATTAAATTGAAATGTAGAGGAGATGAATTTTTAGGAGGTATTTTAAAAATAGAATATATATAGGAAAAATAAAAGGAACAAAATGTTGTTTAGACAGTATATTTAAATTCTGTTAAGAAAAATAAAAATACTGTTTTTAATTTAAACTGTAAATTTAATAAGATCTAAACTTAAATTATAATGGAGAGTATTTTTTAGGGGAAAATTATGAAAACATTTATTAAAATCAATATGATTTTTCATAAAATATCTAGGATTAATAAAATTTAGAATCTGTAAATAGAAGTTAATAAAATAATATTATTTTAGTAAGGAGTATTTAAATTGAAGAAGAGGAAAAAAAAGACAATATATAGCAAGATTTAGTAAAAAAAAACCTCACTGAAGGTATAAGAACATTTAGACTGGTCTATAATTAAATTTAGGATACTGAAAAATATAAACATGATGAAGACTAAGAAAATATTGAAGATGAAGAGGAAGAAAAAGAACATGATAAATCCGAAAAATAAATCCAATAATTAGCTAATAATAAGTTTTCTTTTTAATAAAATAATTTATAATAGAGTAAATATACCTCTTTTAATATAACTAAAGCCTTAAACTATGAATTAGAGAAATAATCAAATTCAATTTTTGTTTAATAATTGAAATATGTCTCATTTTTTATAATTTTTGTGATAATTTTAATGTTGTCTATATATTTAATAAATAATAAATATATATAAATATAATATAAATATATATAAATATATATAAATATATTTATATATAAAAAATAATATAGAAATTGTATAGAATTTGGTTTAAATTATAAATACATATATATATAAAATGAAGAATATTTAAAAGTTTAGTATGAATCTTAAAAATTTTCTTGTATAAATGAAATTATATCATATTTACGTGAATTAAAATTAGTTTCATAAGGAATTCGTATTCCTTAATATAGTTTAAAATAATAAATTGAAAAAAATATAGATAGTGATTCAAAAACACTAAAGGAAATGATTTAAAATAGTATAAATTAATTAAAAATTTTAAATGAAAAATTAATAAATTTATCTTCTCCTTCTGAAAAAGTAATCAATATAAAATACAATGAAGAAGATACTAATTTTTATAATCTAAATATTAATTCGGTTACAGAGTAAATTATATCAAGAGCTCATTCTTTAATCTAATAGGAAATTTAATTTATATAAAATTCATAAAATGATTACTATTTTATTAGTTTTAATGGATTAAATGATTATTCAGTAGTCTTATTGGATATTATTTAGGAAAAAAATACTAATTTAAATACTAATTTAGATTTTATGTTATATTTTTAGATAAATATTATTATAATTGCATTTGTTTTAATGATTTTTTTCTCTATAATTTTATCATTTTTAATAGGATAAACTATACAGACAAAATAAACAATATTAAGAATATTTTTGGAAATTGAAGATAAAACTGCATAATATTTATATAATAATTGTTAAAATTTTATTGCTTAAGTTAATTAAGAAGATGATGGTATAAATAAATATATAAATAAATATATATATATATATAAATATATATATATATATATATATATATATTCTTTATTTTAATTTTAATAAAGATGATGCTAATAGTGACTCTTATCTTTTTATAGATGAAAAATAGGATTTTAATTAGTAATAAGAAAGTATTTTTGGAAAAAAAAAAAAAAAATTTAAAAATACTCGATATGAAGTTTTTGGTTTATTTATAAAAATACTTTTTTTTTCTATTTTTATTGAAATTTATTTTATCATTAATTACTTTTGTGAAAAATAATAATTAAATATTATACAAAATTTACATAACGAATTTAATATAACTCATCTAACTGATGGATATTATTCTTTAATTTTTAATGGATAAAATTAAAATATTATTAAAAAATAATAAACATTCTTAAATAAAAATTTTTCTTTGTATATGAGTGAATTAATAGAAATTGTATTTAATTTAAATACAGATATACATTTAGTATATTTATATATATAAATACATTTATATATTATTATTAATATAACTATTTTAGCAACATGCTTAAAATAATAATTATTTTGATGATTACGTAGGGTATTTAGATTCTTTTAATAATATTATGTTTAAAGACATATGTATTTTTATTTCAGAAAATTAAGGTGTTAATTTTAATGATTGTAATACTTTTGCTAATGAAATTGTAAAATAAGTAATTAGATATAAATTATATGTTCAATTGTCAAATATAAATTTATATACTTAAAAATAGGGATTAGTTATAAGTACAATTAGATATTTCTAATTATTAAGATATCAAAAAGAAAGATATGATTGGATTTAAAGTTTTGTTAATTAAAATTTTAATTTTAGTTAAATGAAAAATTATTAAATATATACAAATAATTAAAATACAATATATATGAATAATATAGCTAATCTTTTAAGAATTCCAGAATTTTATGAATTATGTAAATAAAATGATATTTTAAATATATATTTTAAAATATTTTTAATTTATATTTTTTTAATTAGTTAGTTTATAAACTTTATATATTAAAAGTTCATATAGATATTTACAAGATATACTATTAAAATAAATGGAATTTAAAATTTAAAACTTTATAGTATAAAGAATATTATTTCTAATTATTTTTATTATAGTAATATTAGTTTCTTTATTATTATTTTGGATTCCTTTTTTATAAAATATAAATAAATAAGTTAAATATATATTTAAATAATTTATATATGTCATATATTATTATAGATATGGTCAACAAAGTGTTTACTTTCTTTTATACCTGTTAACGAAATTAATAAAGTATATAATATATAATATTTTATATAAAATGTAATATTAAAAAGAAAAGTATGATATATACTAAATATTTATCATAAAATATATATATTTATAATTTCTATTACATTTTAAATTTTTATTTTTATTTTTCTTTAATTTAATATGGAATTTCTAAAAAAAATTAATTTATTATCTTTATATATGTAGTGTTTTCAAAGAATAGTAATTTTAATAATAAAATGATTTTAAAATTATTATAAAAAAATAAAAAAAAAACAATAAAATAAAATAAGATAAAATAAAATAAAATAAAATAAATATATTTATATGTATATAAAATTTTTTTAATTTCTATTTTTCTTTTTTATTAGTATTTATTTCAATTATTATGTTTTTTTATCTATAATTTTGTATAATTTGTTTTTATAATTATTTCTAATATATTTAATAAAAATAAAAAATAATTTATTATTAATATCTTATTTGTTTATAATTTAAATAATTAAAATCTATTAAAAATATTTTACTAGGCAATTAAAAAACTTATAAACTTTTTTTTATTTTATAATTTTATATTTATAAATATTAATTTTTAAATAAAAATATAAAAAACTAAAATTATAATATATAATTAAAAAAGACTGAACTAAAATTTAATATCAAAGATGCTAAAATAAAATAAACTAAATATATATTTATATATTATAGAAATATATATATATATATATATATATATATATATATATATTTATATATATTAATTTTTTTTTTAATTTTTAATATTTTATTTTTATATTCACTTTTCATATTATAAAGGTAAAGTATTCTTTTCTAACCATTTAATACCTTAAATATCTTTTTCTTTTTCTAAAATAGGAAACAAAATATTCCAAACCTTGAAATTTTTTTTATTATTATTAAAATAATATATATATTACTTTTTTATGATATTAATCAATAAATTCAATATAATTTTAATTTAATAACTTAATATTAATTAAATTTCTATCATAAGGAAACAAAGTTAAACATTCAAATCCTAAATACTCATTTCCTTTATTAACTACAACTAAAGTATCTTCTATTCTAATTCCAAATTCTCCATCTTTATAATATCCAGGTTCATTACTAACTACCATTCCTTCGATCAAAACTTCCTTATTATTTTTACTAATTCCATGCGGTCCTTCATGTACATTAAGATAATATCCAATTCCATGTCCTGTACCATGTCCATAATCTTAAAATCCTTCCCATAAATGCCTTCTGGCTAATACATCAATATCACATCCAGCTATTTAATTTTTCTTTGGCCATATTACTTTCTATATATCAATATTTCCTAATAAAACTCTTGTATATGCATCTTTTTCTTCTTATTTAGGATTTCCGAAATGAAAAGTCCTTGTAATATCTGTAGTACCATCTCTATATATAATAAATATATATAATTTTTTTTAAAAAAATTACAAATATTATCCACCAGAATCCAATAGATAAATTTTATCTTCTTCTATTAAAAAAGCAGTTTCTTTTTAAGGTCTATAATGTATAATTGAGGCATTTGAACCCACTGAAGATATAGTAGGGAAAGATAGACCTTAATTTCGTTCACTTTTTTTTCTTTTTTCATCCAATATAATAGACGCTGTATATTCATTTAAATTCGTGTTTTTTTTTTCAATAATTTAGTTTTCTAACCAGCCTAAATAACTTACTAAAGCAGCTTAATCTCTTATATTTGCATCTTTAAGTCTTTTTATTTACTCAGGAATTTTTTAGGCTTTCATTTTAGATATAGGGGATGTTGATTAGCCTAATATTGTGTGTATTTTTTCCTTAGGAATCGATTAGTATAATTTTTAGTTTATTTGGGATTTTTATATCGTGATCTTTTTCTTTTTTTCTTATAAATCTTAGTATATTTAATTATATGGGCTTGTTTATATATGGTTTTCAGTCAAATATTAGTTTACTTTAGAATTTAATTTTTATTAGTCTATATATAAAGTACCTTCGTATTAATTTTCAGTTAAAAATTAAATTATTAAATACGATTTAAATACAGGATTATATTCTATATCATTTCCTCTTAAATTTAATAGCCCTTTATTTTTTTAAAATAATTATTTGTTTATTATTTAGTTATATATAAACAGGCTATTTCGTCTAGTTATGAAGTAAGAATTTAGTTCGAATTTTATTCTTTTAATATTTCTTTTAATTTATATATTTTATCTTTAGTTGATTAGCATGCAAATTACATATCATGTATAGAAATCTATTATATATTTATATAAGAAAATATATAAATATATATATATATATATATATATATATATATATATATATATTTATTTATTTATTTGTAAATAAACTTATTTTATTTGATCTTCAGGCTTGTTTATCCATATTTCATCAATTAAATTTGGTTCTATTGGTAATAATTCTATATTTCTTTATTTAAAATCATTTTATCTTTTTTCTATATATTCTATTATTAATTTGTTTTTATATTAAAAAAAAATTATATTAGTTTTTACCATTTGTAAATAATAAAGGATCAAATCCGATTTTTTGGTTTTCAGAAACATCAGTGAACCAAGGTTTAAAGCCTTTTTTTTTGTTTATTATAATAATTTTTAATTAAATATACCGATTCCTAATTTTTTTAATTCCCATTCTTAATCTAATTATTTTGAAGCCTTAAAAATATATATTTTATTTATAAAAATATATTTATATATATATATATATATATATATACTTCTAACCAATATCTTGAATCTGTACAAAGAAACGCATTTTCTTCTGTAATAAATGCAAATCCTGATGAACCTTTAAAATTTGAAATAAAAGCTAATCTTTCGTCTGATGGTGCTATATATTCACTCTTTTTAATATATATATATATATATATATATATATATATATATATATTATTATTATTATTTTAAATATGCCTTTTTTTATAAATATATATAACATTATGTGCATCATCATGTGGAATTAAATATGAATCAATTTTATATTTAGGAAATTATTTTCTTAATTATATTAATTTTTGGGAAGCTTTTAGCATTTTTTAATTTTTTTTGTCTAATTTTTATTTTAAATAAAGATATTAAATTTCTTGTTGTTTTATTAAAAAATATTTATTGATTAAATTCAATTTATTTATATATTTTAATAAAAAGTAGAACTATATATATATTACATTTGACATATGTATATTTAATTTATTTAAAAAAAAAAAATCTTTTTTTTTTTTCTTTTTTTTTTTTTCTCACATTTAATTAATAAAACTTACAACTTCTTCCAAAAAAGGATTTGCTATTCGTAAAAAAACATCGGAATTGAACTTTCTATAGACAGACATTAAATTTTTATTTGAATTAATAAACTAGATTTTAATTTCATTGACTTATTAATTAATTTAATGCTTCATTTCTTAGCATTCTTTTTCAAAAGTTGGTTAATTTTCAGAATTTGATGAATTTTATTCAAGGTATAAATTAATTTTTCTATTTTAGGAAATTTCATATTCATTTAATAATAAAATTTCTTTTTCGAATTTTTGAACTTTTTCGAAATAATTTAAAATTGTCTTTAAAAAAATTTCAATATTTTTTCCAATTTAAAAATTTCTTTTATTTTAGAAAAATTCTAAAAACCCAAAAAAAAACTCGAAAATAAAAGAAGGTAAAAAACATTAAATTTTCTCTTCCAAAAAACAAATTTCAACCAAAAATTAAATCTGAAAAATCTCTTCTTTTTATAAATTTTTCCTTTAAAATCCCAAAAAATCCCAACAAGTCACAAAACAACCACAAAATTCAAGTTTTTTCAGAATTTCGAACTCCATTTATAAAAATTCAGTTCTCTAATATGAATTCTCACATATATATAAAAAATCATCTATTTCAGGAGCATATATTTCTTCATATTTACTACCTATAAACATACATACACATCCAATTAATTAAAAACTTTTTTTTTAAATGTTAGTTTTTTCTATATAACGGTCTAATATGTTTATACATATATATAATGTGTTTTCTTTTAGTTTAAATTTTAAATGTACATCTATTAACCAGTCGATTAATATTTGACGTGTTAATAAAGTTATTTATTATTGGAATGGCTTTATTATGGGATCTTTAGGGATGTATTTAGACTCTGTTTATTTTAAATAGGAGTAGATTTCAAATTCATATTCTTATATTGGGTTTTTAAAGGAAATTTTTTGCGATTTTTAGAGTTATTAAATTTATTTTTTTCGATTTTCTTTTTAATTTTAATTATGTTTTTGTTGGTAATAACTATCTTATTCTATATTACTTATATCTTGGCCAAAAAAACGCTTTTATTCAACCTATATTAGTTAATTAGATTTACTTTAGTTTTGAAAATTTATTAGTTTTTGTGTATTTTCATCATTTTCTATTAAAGACTTTTGAATTTTTTATGAATTTTATTTTATTTTATACATATTTTTTTATTTTAGTGTGTTTTTTAATTATATTTTATTTGATTTTATTTTTTTTAGGAAATAAAAGTTTTTTTTAAACAAAAAAATCGGGAATTTGTTAATATTTTTATTTTATTTTTTATTTAAATTTTCGAAACACAGAAAAAAATAACATAATAATAATAAACTATTATTTTTGAATTAAAATTTATATTTATAATTTTTTAATTTGACTAAAATAATGTAAATTCCGAGATAGTATAGTGGTTAGTATTCCTGCCTGTCACGCAGGAGACCCGGGTTCAATTCCCGGTCTCGGAGTTTTTTTTTTTTTTTAAATATTAATCTATATCAATAATATTATATTTAAATATTCTAAAAAATTAATTATATTAAATTTAATAATATTTTTATAAATAAATAAAAATAAGGAAAATAAATTATTTAAAAATAAATAAATATAAAAAAAAAAATTATAATAATATAAAATATATTATAAATAAAAATAATATCTAATGTTTAAAATATGAATAATATATTATTAATTATATTTAATTTTAAAATAATATATAATTATTAATATTTTATATTATATTATTAAATATAATAATATATTATTTTTTTTATTTTATTTTATATATATATATATATATATATAATATATAAACATATAAATATATTTATATATTTTATCTCTATATATATATAATTTAATAAATAAATAAAAAATAGCCTATATTATTTAATTAATAATAAATGGATATTCAAAAAACAATTTAATTTATTGAATAAAAATGGTAAAATGACATATAATAAAATCTCGAAGATTATATTAGAATTCCTAATATGAGCAAATCCTTTGATTCTGAATGGAACACTAACGGTTTATTAGAAAAAGCTGCTAATCATTTATTTAATTGGGCTAAAAGCCAGAATTTAAAAAATGCAAAGCTTGAAATAATTAAAGATGCTGATAAAACCCCTTTAATATATATAGAAGTAGACGGAACTACCTAAAATACCTAAACAGTATTATTATATGGTCATTTTGATAAATAACCGCCATTTACAGGCTGGAAAGAAGGACTTGAATTCAATAAACCGAAAATTATTGACGAAAAATTATATGGAAGAGGTGGAGCTGATGACGGTTATAGTATTTTCGGGGCAGTAACTGCAATAAAAATATGCCAAGAATAATAGCTACCGCACCCACGATGTATTATATTAATTGAAGGTGATGAAGAATCTGGATCATAACACTTACCTTTATATCTTGAAAAACTAAAGGACAGAATCGGAGAAATATCAATAGTTTTTTGCCTAGATTCAGGTACTTTAAACTATGAATAATTATGGATAACATCTTCTTTAAGAGGATCTATTGCATTAAATTTAAATATAAAAGTACTTAATGAAGGAGTACATAGTGGAGACGCTAGTGGAGTTGTTCCGAGCAGTTTTAGAATTTTAAGAATAATTTTAGATAGGCTTGAAAATTCTAAAACTGGAGAAATTCATGAAGATTTATAAGTAAATTATATATATATATATATATATTTATATATATATATATATATATATATATATATATATATAATTTTTAAAGGTTATTATTCCACATGATAGATATTTTCAAGCTTTTAAAGTTAGTGAATATATAGGAAATGATTTAATTTATAAATTTCCTTTCGTATAAGGCATGTAACCTACTACTTAAAATGTTTTTAATGCTTATATAAATAAAGTAATTAAAATAAAATATAAAATTAACTTTTTATTTTTATTTATTTTAAAAATAGACTTGGAAACCTTAAGTAAGCTATACAGGAGTCGATCATTTACCAAATACTAGTAATGCAGGAAATGTATTAAGACCAGAAACTACTATTAAATTAAGTGTAAGAATACCACCTACAAAATGTGTTAAGGAAGCTAAAGAAACTTTGATTAAATTATTGACTGAAAATCCTCCTTATGGTGCCTAAGTTACATGTACTAATGTAATTGGTAATAGTGGATGGAATTGTCCTCCTGTAGAAAAATATCTTGAAAATAGTATTTAAAGTGCTAGTAAAGCTTTTTATGGAAAAGACGCACTTTATCTAGGAGAAGGAGGGTCTATTCCACTTATGGGATTACTTTAGAGACTTTTCCCGAAGGCCTAGTTTGTTGTAACAGGTGTATTAGGACCAAATTCTAATGCACATGGACCAAATGAATTTTTACATATACCTTTCACAAAAAAACTAATTTGTTGTATTGCCAAAATATTAAATGATAGTTATGAATAATTAAAATGATATATATATTCTAAAATTTATTATAAGTTATCATAATTTATTATAAATTTCGTATAAATATTAATATTAATTTTAATAAAAAATAGATAATTTAATAATAATTTAATGATAAATATATAAATGAATATATATATATATATATATATCAATTTATATAGATGTATATATTTATATAATTATATATATTTATTTATATTTTTTTTATTTTTAATATTAATATTTTTTCTTTTAATAAAAATATATTTATTTTTATTAATTATTATTATAATTATTATCTTTAAATATATAGAATATTTTTTTTTTCTTTGTATATTTTTAATATAAATATAATATATCTTTTATTTATATAATTATTAGAATTAAAACTAATTTTTTTTTTAATATTAAGATTATTTAACTTAAATTTGTTTAAGTATTTTTATTTAGTATTATATTAATAATTTATATTGGGTTTTGTTTACTTTTTTTAATTTAATGTTTTAAAAATTTTTTTTCTATTAACATTTAAATTATTTAATCGGTCTATTGTTTAAAGATTTATATATATAATCTTAGAAATATTATATTTCATATATATAATTTATTTATAATTTATATAATAATATATTATTATATTTTGTTTTTATTAAGATTTTTATCATTAATTTATTATAATAGATAAATTTATAATCTTATATTTTTTTTTTAATTTTAAATCTTAATATTACTAAAATTTTTTAAAAAAGAATATAAATTTAATATTTAAAGATATTTATTATCTGCAATAATATAATAAATTTATATATTCTATATTTATATTTTTTTAACTAATATTATTTTAATATTAATATATACATTAAATAATATAAGACATAAATTTATTATATATATATAAAAATATATATATATATATATTATATTTATATATATATATATATATATTTATGTATAATTATTATTCTATATTTAAATTTTTATTTTATATTATTTAGAAAAATAATTAATTTTATTTTTATAAAAATATATATGTATATATATTTTTAATTATAATAATTATTCTATATTTAAATTTTAAGCATATCTTATTTAAAATAAATAATAAATTTTATTTTAATAAAAATTAATAAAAATAATTTATAATAATTTATAATTACATAAAACTATATTTGTTTCTTGTTTAAAATCAGAATTCAAATAATTATTTTATTATTTAATATATAGAATTGTTTATATATTTTATTTTAATATTAAATTATTATTTATATTTTCGTTTTTATTCTAATTATAATAATATATTCTTTCTCTTACTTTAAATATTATTAAATTATTTAATTTTTATTATTGTTCTGACTTTATTATATTTTTATTTAAAATGTATTACATATGAAAAGTATAATAACAATATTGTAATAATCAAAATTCCTTTAATCGATTTTCTCTTGAGGAAAATTTAAATGATGAAGCGAATAATAAACAAAAGCCTATTGTTTTTAAAATAATAAGACGTTCTTTTTTTATTAAATAAAAAATATATTTTATATTTATTTTAGTGTTTATTTTTTTATTGCGTTAATTATTAATTGTTTTTTTTAAGTATTATTATTTATCAATTTCTTAATTATAATTATTTCAAAAAATACATTTTTTATTTATTTGTAATGTTAAATAAATAATTATTATTATTAAAATACATTATATATTAATTATTAAAAAAAAATTAATATATAAAATAATACTATTTAATATTGCTTTTAAGAATTAATATAAAATATTAAATCTAAAGTAAATAATTATTTTATATACATATATATTTTAATTTATATATTTTTAAGTATCTTTATAAAATAAGTAAATAATATATTTTTTTTTCTGAAGCCATCTATGTTAAGTAGAAATTAAAAACTCTAACAAAGAATTTAAAACAAATATAATTGTGAATAATCAAATAATTAAGAAGATGATTCATATGATTAAAATTTATCAAATGAATAATAATAGCAATAATAATAATAATAAAATGAAGGTTTTTTAATTTTCAAATGATTAATTATTTTATTTATGCTTTTAAAAATAAAAGAAAAAATAAATTAAAATAAAGAAATATCAGGAACAGAAAAATATAAATTTATATAATAATTAAATTCGGAAAAAGTTTTTTATTTTATTTATAAAATAAATATTAATTATATATATTATTTTTTAGGAAAAATATTAAAGATATAGAACTTTTGTTTTTATTATTTTAGGCTTATTAACAGGATTAATACAAAGTACTTATTTTTTTTCTTTAAAAAAAATAAATAAATAATAAGCTGCAATAACTATTAGATTGAATTTTGTTATTTTGTTTATAGGATATTAAATTATTTATATGAGAATTTAAAAAAAATTATTATAAAATTTAGAAGAATAATGTAAAAAATATATTTTATTTTATATATGTAATTTTACTTTTCATGATTATATTATATATTTAGCATCTTTAAATGAAGAAAATCTTTAGTTTATAACAAAATTTATACCAGATAATTTATAAATTATAATTAATTTAATAGAAAAATTAAGTATACATAATAAAGAATTATAATTATGGACAAATAATTTTTTTATATATATGTTTTCTTTATTTTTTATATTAATAACGTTTTGATAAAAGAATCAATTTAATATATTTAGTATATTAAACTATTAATATATGTTTTTTTTTAAAAAAAAATATTGATAACAGTATAATAAATGTTATATATTAATATTAAATAAAAAACATATATATTAAAAATGTTATTTACTTATATATAAATATATATACGTATTAAAAAAAATACAAAAAATCTCTAATTAAAGATTAATTAAACAAATAAATCTATCAAGAATTAAGCCATACATCTTTTAAAATCTATATCAAAAAAATAAAAAAATACATAAAATAAAATAAATAATAGAAATACATTTTATGTATTTGGCCTTTCCTCGAATTTCACATTAAGTAAATTCTTTAAAAGCGACTTAGCATTATCAGAAACATCATAAGCTAATTAAAATGACCCTTTTTTTATATTTTTAAACAATTCATTATTATTTAATCCTTTAAAAGGAAATTTTCCTTAAAGCATTACAAAAAGTAGAATCCCTAAAGCCCAAACATCTGCTTTTTAACCCACATATTCGATTTTAGAAACTATTTCAGGGGACATATAAGAGGGTGTTCCACAAAAAATTTTGAGTTTAGAACTTTCAGGCGCACATATACTGAACCCAAAATCAATAATTTTAATATTTTAATTTTTATCCAAAAGAATATTTTCGAGTTTCATGTCTCGGTGTACAATATTTAATGAATGACAATAATCTAGTCCTTACACTATTTGTTTAAAAAGTCTTTTGACTTCACTTTCATCAAGTTTTTTATCTATTTTTTGTCTCAAAAAACTATTTAAACTAGTCTTTCCAACATATTCCATCGCAACTATAATTTACTTTAATTTTTAAAAAATAAATATATTTAAATATATATATAAAAATAAATATTAATTGTATATAAATTAATATATAAATTTATAAGATATATATATATAATAAATATATAATAATAATAATATATATATATATATATATATATATATATATATATATATATACATATATATTAATTACGTTCATTTTATCTTCAAACGCATAGGGCATTTGTATTATATTTGGATGTTGCATTCTTCTTAATATAGAAATTTCACGTTTTACATTTCTTAATTTTTAAGGGTCCATTAGTACGAATTTAGGGTATATCTTTAATGCATATTTTATTTAAGTTTATCTTTCGGTTGCTAATTTTACTACTGCATATGACCCTTTTCCGATTTCGTTTTCAAGCTTAAAATTTGTTATGCTTATATTATCGAATATTGAAGAGGAGTCTTACGGTATCTGTGGTTATGATTAAATTTTTAATAATTTTGGATTTATAAAACATTATTTTTTTATTTCTTGGGTGTTTATTATTTTGTTATATGTAGGTTGTCGATGATTTGATGATTTAGGAGGATTTTTTTAAATATTTAGGTATTTTTTTAATATTTCTTGGTATTTTTTTTATTGTTCGATGGGTCTTTTTTAACTTTTAAAATTTTATCTATTGGCATTTTCAATTAAAGGCTAAGATTAATAATTTGCTGTTTTTTAATATTTTTTTTGTTTTTTTTGTATAAAAATAATTGTTTTATCACATGTTTATTTATATAAGTTCTATTCTGTTGTTTCAATTTTTGGTTATGTACGCTTTTTTAGATTTTCTTAAGTTAGTTTTGTGCTTATATGTTAAGATAAAAGCTGTTTTTTTATTTTTTAATAATTTATGTAATTTGTATTGTAGAATTATTGGTTAAATTAGTCCATTTTGTATTATTTTTAATATTTTATCAAATTTTTTTAAAATATAATAAGTTTTTTAAAATTTATTTTAATTAATATAAATAAAATTATATTTAAATGATTAAATATATATATTTATATATAAAAATATATATATATATATATATATTTTATTTTTTTTACTTAAAAATTTCAAATAAGTTTATAAAATTAAAAAAAATTATATTTATATTATTTATATCATTACTTAATATTTTTTTAAAAATAAGAGTAATTAATCAATAAATATAATATTTCTATATATAGATTATTTTTATTTTTTTTTATATTTTTTTTTTTAAAACTTATTTTTTACAAAAATGGCGTATAAGCATATATAAATTCTTTTTTTTTTTATTATTTATTTAAAAAAATATTATAAATAAAAGAATAATTAAAAAAAATTATATTTATATTATTTATATCATTACTTAATATTTTTTTAAAAATAAGAGTAATTAATCAATAAATATAATATATAGTAATCATAAATTTAATTAAATATTAAGTTACTCTTCTAATACTTATCTTAACTTACTCTACTCAATCGGTTTCGTAATATAATCAACCATTCCTATTTATAGACATTTTTGAATTTCCTAACTATCTGAATATCCTGAAAATGCTACAATTTTAATTATACTCAAACTTTTAATAATTTTTAAAAATTCTTATATCATATTAAATGTTTAATATCCATCAATTTAAGGCATACATAAGTCCAAAAAGACTAAATCATGTACTTCTTTGTTTTTTTATACATGTCTTTAATTATTTAAATAGCTTCTACTGCATTAATAGCACTTTCTATATTAGCAGAAGGCATTAGTTTTTATATTTTCATTTTTAAGACTAAAATATTAATATTATCGTCGTCTATTACTAAGATTTTAAAAGTGTTCTTTTTGAAAAAATTGTTGTCCTGAATTTTCAAAAAAGACTTGATATTTCCCTAAGAATCTATGGTATTTTCATGATATGTGATTTATTTTTTTTATAAAAATTTCATTTTTTTCACTTTTCTTTCTATTTTAGTGAATTCTTTTTGTTATTTTTTTGTGTTTTAATATAAATTATTAGTTAATATAACTGATTTATTATAAGATTTTTGCATATTAAGCTAGTTTAGCAGTATAAAATAAAATTTAGTCCCCTATCCGATCTCACTTTTTATTTTTAAACCTTTTCCATCACCTAATTTACCTGCTAGTGTATTAGCAATAACTAAACCTAAACCAATACCATTTGGATTGAGTTCATTTTGTACTTTACCTTTAATTTTTCCGAATTTTTTGAATAAGTATTATTATTCTTCCTTAGAAATGCCTATTCCTGTATCTTTTATTGCTATTTGAAACATATTTTCTTCCTTAAATTTAACTTTAATGTCTATAATACCTCCTTTTTTTGTAAATTTAAGTGAATTTGAGACTAAATTAGTGATTATTTATCTCAATCTATTAGGATCTGAGGCTATATTAATTGGCATAATAGGATCATATTTAACCCTTAGTGTAATTTCTTTTTAAGCAGTCTATACAGATAATAAATCTATAAGCTATTTAATTAATTCCTTTAAATTAAATTATTCTACATTCAAAGAAAACTTACCAACTTTAACCTAAGCAATATCCAAAATATCATTTACCAAAAGATTTAATTACTTAGAACTAGTCAATGCAGGATTTAAATATTATAAAAGTTAAGTTTAACCTTCTAAATTCATACAAGCCATTTCTATCATTGAAATTATGCAGTTTAGGGGAGTTCGGAATTCATGAGATACCTAAGAAAGCATTTAAGACTTGTTTTTATTTATTAGTTTTAATAGTTTAATTTAGTTAAAATGAGTCACGTCTCGTAGAAGAAATAATACATTGGGCTTATTTTCAATTATACAAGGGACACAGGTCACTTCAAAGCATTTTTTGGTAGAGTCGATGTTCTCACTTATGTCGTTTTTGTCGGTATTTTCTATATTTTTTTTTTTTTCTTTTTTTATTTTTAGTTTTAAATAGTACTTTTTTGATATTTAGGACATGAGCATATCATTTTAAAATGAGTTTAAAATGTTTAGTATTCATCTATTTTATCAAATCTTATTATTTATTCGAGTTCGGCAATTATACTATTATATAAATCTCCTAAAGATATCTATTGACTTAATTTAATTTATGTATTTTATTCATCTTATTCTTCATGACTTTATATAATGAAGTTACTGTCTTCATTTTAGAAATTACTTTTTTATTTTTTTATGTTCATATTGTTATTATTTGTTATTATTTAGTATTTTTTTGAGTTTAAATTTGAGTCGAAATTAGATTTTAATATATTCAATTAATTATTTAAAGTTTAAGATTATTACTATTGTGAGTTTTGTTATAAGCTTTGTTAATTTTCAAATTAAGAATCGACTCTTTTTATATTGAAAACTTAAGACATTAATTGCATATTTAAGTTATTTTATTAATAAATCTCAGAAATAATTAAATTATTATTTTTAATTTATTTTTATTGATTATTTTGGTCATTTAAATATTGTTTTTCGAAAATATTCTTCATATTCATAGCTTTTGGGGCATAATTGTTTCCAACAGACTCGCTTTCATTAAAAGTAGTTAAATCGTTTTTCAATAAAAGAAGCCTTTCGATTGCTAGACAACCTTTAAAACCTAAATAAGATTCCGCGCGTTTATTTATTAAATGGAGCTTTTGATGAGTTGAGCCTAAAAGAATTACTCCTTCTGGAATTATCTAAAAAAAAGTATAAAAAAATTATAGATTTGAAGGAATATTCATTATTATTTATTCATTATTTATTTATTAATTTTATATTTCTTGGTTTAATTAACAACTAAAACTCAATTATTTATTAAAATTATTTTAAGTATTATTTTTTTCTAAAGGAACGCTTTTTTGGTAGGTTTTATATAATGTTTTTTAATTATTTACTTACATATTAATTATTTCATTCTATTAAATATTATTATTTGATTAAATTTAATTTTATTATTACTATATATTATTTATTTCTTAATTTTTTTTTTCATTAATGTTATATATATTTTAATCTAAATTTTATCTTATTATAGTTTATAATAATTACTATTATTAAGACTAATTAACCGGTAAATTAGATTTTCTATCTACAGCTGATAATATTTTATCAATTTAACAACCATCTTCACCTACTAATATTACACCATCTTCAGCGACTAATATTTATTCCATTTAGCAATTTCCTATGGAAACTCCATTTGTATTTTTTATTTTTTAATTCGAGTTTATATCTTACATTTATATATTTTTAACATTTTTAATAGAGAATTTTGATAAATTTGATAATTTTAGTTTATTTTATAATAATTTATCCATTTCTTCTTATATTTTATTTGAAATTAAATATTAGAATTTATTTGTGTATAGGTAAATAGAAACAAAAAAAAGTAGAAAAAAAAGTTATAAAATTTAGGCTAAATAGATTATGTCAAAAATGATTATCCGGAATTAATAATATACAAAAAAAAATAGAATTAATAAAAAAGATTAATATTTGTATAAAAATTAAATTAAATATTAAAGCTAAAGTGTAAAATATTACAAAATAATTATATTACTGATTTAGGTATTTTCTATATTTACTTTTAATAATTCTATATGCATTATCATTTCAATTATGTTTAATATTATTGGTATGTATTTTATCGGTTGCTTTAAATATTTTATTTGGGTTATCATTTTCTTGAATTTTATGTATATTATTGTAAAAAAGAATAACAATAAATAATAAATTATGTTTATTTTTAATTATATTTCATATGTTTAATTATTTTCTTAATAATAATAATATTGAATTAAGTTTAATAAATGAACCAAACAAAAAGTAAATTATCGGAAGCCATATAAAGTTAGTTGTTTTGTGAAATTTATGTGCTATAATTTTGCTATTTTTTCGAATTTTTAAAAATCGATTAGCATTATTTTATAAATATATATATAATTTTTTTTATATATATAATAAATATAATATATATATATATGTTTATTTTTTATAAATATATTTTATTATATTATATATATATATATATATATATATATATATTTATATCAATTTCATATTTTTTTTTATATATTATTTTATTAATTTTATTTATTGGTTTTTTCTTTATTTAATTTTTTTTATTTATTAAAAAATTTTTTTTTTACTTTTTTTTTTTTTTTTAAAGAATGTTTGTTTTTTAATCATTATAATTAAATGTCTTTTTAAATAAAAATCAAAAAATATTATTTATTTAAATAAAATTGATTTATTAAGGAAATTTTAATTAGAAATAAATATTTTACACTTATAATATTAATATAAAAAAATAATAATATAAATACGTAATAATAAAAAAAAACCTTTTTTTTATATAAATTTTATATTTATAAAAAAAAAAAATATTACTTTATAATTTTCCATAACAATAGATATTTTTTTTCCCTTTCTATATCAAAAGTATTAAATAATCCTTTTTTAATATATTTATTATCCATTAAATATTTTCTCTATATAATTTGGTTTAATAATCGTAAATATAAAATTTCGGAATTATATTCTCTATCCTCTTTCTAACTAATTATATCATTTAAAATTATTTTAGTAGTAATTTCTAATAAAAGAAATATTTAAAAGAAGCCTGCTATTTATTTTTCAATATTTAATATTAGGTTTTTCTAAAATTTACTGACTGTCTTCTTAACTATAAGAAACTAATTTTCTCAATTTAATTTAGTAATTATACCATAATTAATTTAAGTGAATTAGTATCATATATATTAACAAATCTACCTATAAGTGTTAATCCGATACCTAAATATTAAAATTCTAATCGATTGCATCATCTAAAACTTCAATAAATAAAGACATTTATTTACTATACTGCCTTCATATTAATTACTTTTATGGTTTAAAATATCTCTCATTAATTAATCTATTAAATATATATTACTAATGTGTATTTAAACTCCATTTAATCCGGCTTGTTTAGCCGATTAGAATGCATTTTTGAAACCCTTTTCGTAATTATTGGATGTCTTTTAGGGTCATTTCTTTAGACATAGTGTTCGTGATTCATAGTATGGGTGTTTTTCGCTTATGGTAATGGAAGCTAAGGGTAGTTCTTCGCTTATTTACTGTTTCAATTACACTTAAACTCTGTCTTATGCTTATATATAAATTCTACAGTTTTTACAATACGTTAAATTTCCATATGAGATCGGCTGTATATTCAAGTACAACCATAAAAAGCATTACATAAAGGAGTAAATGAACATTTAGTTATTATTAAACCAAATTAATGCCCTTGAGAAATAATATTTTGCTACTAAATCTATTGAAATCGCAGTTTCAGAGTCACATCTTTAGTAGGTAAATTAAACTATTAAAAAATTTTTTTTAGTTTAATTTTGACAATTTAAATATGAGATTAAGGGAGGTTTTAGAGATTTTAAAAAACAAATAAACGAATATATATGTTTAGATAAAAAAAATATAATATTAATAAATAAATTATATAATTATTAACATATATATAAATTTTATATATTTTATTCGATTATATATTAAATGCGATAATTAATATTAAAATATAAATTATTTATTTTATGCAAATCTATATATACGAAAAAAAAATATGTTATAATATATTTATTGCCCTTAATTTTATTTTTTTAAAAATAAATTAAATAAGAATTAAATTTTTATTTTTATTTTTATTTTTATTTTTAGGTTTTTTATTTATTTCATTTTCAATTGCAAACTTATTTTTTTAATATAAATATATGATATGTTAATATAGTTTAAAGTATTTTTTAAAATTATAATGCTATTTATTTAATTTTTTTAAAGGAAAAATATAAATTAATATTTTAATGCTTTTTAGAATAATGATTTACTTTTTATATATTTATTATAAAAAATTTTTAATTTAATATAGAAACACATATTAATAATTTTATTTTTTTATAATATTTAATATATTATTATTTTTTAAGTATAAACATAAATTATTATTTGCCAATAGTAAGCATTAATTTTATAATACTAATAATAAATAAATTATAATTATTAATAGTATAATTATACTTTTTATACAATTATAAAATAATATTTAAAATATTTTTAAAATTATAATAATATATTACATAATAAAAAATAATAAAAATTTTTATTAATATAAAAATAATTTAATTTATAAAAACAGTGTCATATTAATTATCATATAATTATATGAAAAAAATAAAATAAGATATTTCTTTATATAAAATATTAGTTAAATGAATCTAAGGAATTAATGAATTGTTAATTTTTATGTAAATTAAATTAAATTAATTAATAATTTAAGATAATAAAAATAGTCTGAACGAATATCTAATAATAAATTTTTGTGAAGATTCTGGAGAGAAAAAAATAAATAATTTTAATGTTAAAGATAAATAATAAAGATTTTATTTTAAAAAATATAAATATATATTATAAAATTATATTTGTTTATAAATAAAATTTTTTAATTA